CATAACGTGGAAGGGCCACACTTGCGTTACGATCGGTCCGCGAAAATCTTCTGCATGTGTCAAACCAAATGTTGATGAATTTGACTGCGTTCTGCAAAAGGAAGGGAGAATTATTCTTTTTTTTAAATCTCTTAAATAACTCGAGGTCATGCAATGGCTTCACCCGTCCTGTGCCAGTCGTTTACGGCGAATTTGTATTAAAAGCAATTGAATATATTTTCAGAGCAAAATATATTGGATTACAAAAAACGCATGTCAACACGTTACTTTTTAAGTTTATTGAATACATTCAATGCCAGTCCACAAACGAAATAAAAAATATAACTTTGTTTTCAACTTTTGGATAAAACATTGCACTCGAAATGAAACTGTAACTTTTAAAATAATCTATGCATTCTTTTTGTCAGAGACAATGCTAAGACAATGTGGCGAGATGGTAAATAACAGTGGACCATTAATCGTACCCAATTGTGCATTTTGCCAGCTAAGCTATATTTTTATGACATATCGCTTTACATTGTTTCAACTCATCCACCTCGACACACTCTAATGAAAAATAATGTAATTTAGCATAATTATTCAACATACATTATGGTTAAATTTGCACCAACGCGTTATGCTTTATGTGCAAAACGAATGCTCCATCGGGAATGACGTTGATGCCAATAGCTGAGTTGAAGAAAACAGGAAAGCATTTATATAGAAATAAGAATAGTACTCGTTTATTGTCGAGTTTATCGTTATTAGTAGGAGGGTAAGGATGCACTGAAGAAGATAGAGCCTTAGCATGTGTTACTAAAATCCTCCAGAGGCTAAGGGGAGGCGAGACCGATAGTTTGGGCATGTAATGAGAAAAGGCAAAGATCTAAGATGCACGTATAAGAGCTCACACGGAGACCCACAGACTTACACAGAGAACCCACAGACCCGCACAGAGATTCATAGCCTCACATAAGAGACCCTTACATTTGAAGAGCCACGTAGACATCACCAGTGCAGGCCAGAGGGAGTAGAGGGTTAGATGGGAGAATGCGTTGGAACAAGACGCGAGCACAGTGCACGCGTCTAGTGCAGAGACGCAGAACAGACGCACGTGAAGAAATAACTCTCAGCACCCGAAGCCAACGCAATCACGAGACTTCAAGCCGAGAAGAGGAAGAGAGGTAACGATGTATCGATTCGTATATTGATATTGATTCTCACGCACACGATACGAGCGGCGAATCGTGTGCTGCGGGAACTGATTGGTTCAGATTTGGTATATGGTGCGTGTAGCTAATACATGTGACCTGCACGCAATGTAAGTGCTGCAATGAACCACAATACAATTTATTTTAATTGCTATCCCATGGGTTTTTCGAGGTTGCGCGACAATCCACAGCCGTGAAAAAGCAGCATTCATTCTTGAGTTGAACCGTGACCCAAATTGCGATGAATGGAATCGGAGTGGGACGGGGTTGAGTTGGTGAAGGGGATTAATTTAATTGCAGGCCTATTATTTAATTACGAATCTTTACTTCGGCATTCAAAAATAAAGTAACACTTGCCCTAATTGGGTGTTTAAAAAGCTTTGATTGCAAAATGTTAAATTAAGTCCCAATTTGTCAAGAACTGCACCGTAGCAAACATTAATTCGTCACCTACAATAAAAAAAAAATTGTGCCTTTCCTCAAAAACTGTCACCTAAACACAATACCAAATGCTACGGTGTTTAGATAACGGCATCTAAAGTGCTGGCCAGCCAATTCAAAATTGGAGCTGGTCGTGGCATGTGCAAGGCTGTTTGTTGAATGAAGTCTGATGTTTGTTCCCACCACCCCACCATCAACCGATACTGACTGATTCAACAATATAATATTGTAGCAATTACAGTGCTAGTGCTCAACAGACAAATAATTTTCCCCCAAATTAATACCGATGCTGTCATCAGCATCATGTCATGAGACAAAGTATTCATGCAGCTCTCTCGAGGAGTGCAACCCTTCGTGGTAGCGAAAACCCCACGGAAGTAGATATCACAGAGCTACCTCTGAGATCACACGAAGGGAACTACTTCACAAAGTACAGGTCAGCACTTTCCCATCCCGCTCTGTCTATGAGAGTTACGTGTGTCACGTAACAGCAAAAAAAAACAATATTTTAATTCTCAAGCACTGGCATTTTGCCAAATTAACTGCGGAACCAAATGTAACGTGATGGGTTTATCTGTGTGCAGTCATTGGTCACGAGGCTGAGACGATCGCACTCGTTACACTCGAGAACCCAGTTGAATCGCAGGCAGCTTGCCTGGGTTCAAACCGAGGACTTCAGCGGTGCCGGCTCGGTCCATCCGAGCCCCTGGGCTACTTGGCCACCTCGACCGCGACTGAAGTGTGCCGAACACCATTAGCTGCACAAAAGCTGCATGACACGCCATACAAAGACAAAGCCTCCCCCCCCGTATAGCCTTAAGAGGCCGTCCGTTGGGGCAAGTGCTGTTCGCGAGCACCTATGAAGGCCGACACAGCACACGAGGGGGTGGGTGGCCAGGATCGCGCCGATCCGCCTTTGTCTCCCGAGTGGCAACGTTTACACATTGCACCAGGTACTCGTTTGAGGCTGAGTCGACCTAGGGGAGGCCCAGGACCGATTTAGATAATCGTCACTGGTGTTGGCCGTGAGCGGTAATCGAACTCGGTTCGCCGGGTTCGTAGAGCAGCGTAGCGCTAACCGCAAACACCACCGCTCCCCATACCCCATATGTACACACACACATTGCATGGATAAGAACACAACGTACAGTATTAACAACACAACGTATTAACAACACAACGGCAGACTGCACCACCGAGTACCTGCACCTGAAAGACGTTCGGCAACGACCACTGGGTTTGGTGTGCATGACAGTGTTCTAATTGCACTTACGGGACACTCAAACAGGTCCTTTTGAGTGCAGCGTTCACACGCGAGATGTCGTTGCGCCCGATCACAATGACGCGCCCCGCAGCGTCTCATGCAAAGTAACATCGTGACCCTTGGTTGTTGTGAGAAGGAAAAAAAATATCAAACCTGCAAAAAAATGGGAACGGATAAGAGGGCGTGCGAGATAATGACCAGCGGCGCATGAATGGATGTGTAATTCATCTTCCGTGGAAATAAATAGCCTTGCCTGGGAAGCCTTCTTCACCATGAGGCTTTGTACGTTTAGGAATAGAACTTCAGAATTCATGAATAGCGCTCCTCATATTTGAGAGAGAAAAAATAATTACTTGTAAATGTAATTTTATCACAAACACATTGTTACAATATTATAATTACTTGAGTTGTTTTTTTGTATTCGATCATACGCTGATACGTTTCGAAGGCTTAAACGTGTCCGCATGCATGCCGAGTTGAAAGGGGAGTGTGGCGATATCTCGCACCGTTACGATTCCAGCAAACGCAGATTTGATTCCAGATGATGCACAACACCATTGGACACGTGTACCCTGTCCCTGGCAGAGTGTTTGTGATGTGGTCAGCATGAGCCCGTGGGTGGGTCAGGCATGGTGATACACTTGCTCTGTGTGCACTGCGCTGGCATTAACTGGTGCTCACTTAACTGCACTTGACCTCAGATGGCAAAAGGCTTATTATTTTGGACTCACGCAGAATGCTACAGTACCAATGACCCCCTTTGGGAGCCTCGACAACGCGTATCTCTTTGGCCATTACAAAATGGGAGAGAAAATCAAACAAAGAAAAACAATTGCCAGGAATGTTTAAGTGTTCCAATCATTCAATATTAAACATTAGGCGTGTTGCAAATGTCAAATGTTGATACACAACCTTTCAACCGATGTCTAAACTAATTCAATACAGAATAGTTGAGAGTAGCGGGGGGGGGGGGGGGTCCACACGAATATATCAATCCAATTCAGAAGAGCACAAAACGTATTGACGAATTTCTGTATTCTTCCTTAACAGTGTCAGCCATCAGTATGCACACAGCAATCGGGGCTGTCTGCTACATTGTCGATGTTAGTTTATAACATTGCATCGATGACGACGATGCAATGGGCGAGCTTAGCGCGGGCGCAGTGACGGCGTGATTGTTGCCCGCCAGTGTGACTGCGATTCCGTGTCCGTCTGTCACGTCGACGTTCGTCGTTCGGCGGCAATCGGCGGCCGATGACGGTGGCGGAAACGACGGCGACGAGGCTTTGACCAAAACACACACAACAACAACAACAACAACAAAAAAGCCCTCCACGTGCTCTGATAGACCAACTCATTTTGCACAATAAACTCCATCCCGCGTTCCTCCCTTGCCAAGCTGCACGGACGTCAATCGTGCTCGTAAGCAGTAGAATTCGTTTTAATGTCCATTAAAATATCCTTGTTTTTAAATGATAGACACAGCACTGTTTTGCCACTAATGAGCTTTTGGCCTTTCAGTTTTGGTCTCCATTCTAATGCCCCTTAGCCAGTGGCAAGAAGGCACAGGCCTCAATCATTGCCGTAGAAACACCCTGAACTATTGCACAACAGAACAACTAATCAAAGTGTTTATTTACAGATGCACATTCCCAGCTGATGCTACAGAACTCAGTGATTGCCCAGTGATCGTCCTATTTACACGCTAATTCTCACGTTTTGTGTGGTCACTTTATTTGAATATTTGATTTCGACAATAATACTATTTACATAATTCTGAATATTTATATATATACCAGGAATTCATGAAAATAACTTTTTTTATTCCACTTTTAACCCATAAACTATTGTAAAGTGTTTAGATTCTAAATAGAGCAATATAGGTATTCTTTGATTAAATATAGAATTGAATAAAATTCCACAATGTACACAACAACTTGTAACCTAAACATGCCACTCATTGCTGTATATATAATTTACATTCTTCACACAATCAATACATGTTTCCTGTGCAAATAAATACCTTCCGCATTACATCCGGGCTAACACCGCAGCAACAACAACAACAACAACGCAAATCTCAAAAAAATCTCGTCATTTTTTTGTTGCACCAGAATCAATCGGTGCCGTCTATAAATAAACCCTCCGCGCGTCCAAATCCTCCGGCGCGTCAGCGAAACGGTTCTTTCTCTTCCGGCGTCGCTGTCTCTCCACAATCTGCAGGGCACGGCGCGTTTCAGCTTCACGCACGCAGCCACAGCAGCAGTCAACCCACACCCCCACCCACCCCGTGGTGCGTCACAATCATCTGCTCCATTCATTTTGATGCGTCACTTCAAAAACGTTATTTGGGCGCGCGCGCGCGTGCGCGTCTGAGCTCTGCGTGTGTTTGTACGTATGTATGAGCGTGATTTCATTAGCGCCCAGAAGCAAAAAAAGAGCTGTAATAAAAAGGGAGGGGGGGAGGAAATACACATTCCGACGATCAAACTGGAATCCCAACGTGTTGTGGGGGTGAAGGGAGGACACTCAGATATGTCACAATAGTAGCAGCAGTAGCAGAAGCCTCCTGATAAATAGTCGTCTGGGGGGGGGAGAAAAAAAGAGCCAAAATAAAACCAAAAAGACATTGAGTTTGTTTTGTCTAGCGGTTGTGAAATATGATAACGTGAGCTCTCGTGCGATGCCTTCTGCCGTCCGTTCGTTGTTCGTCGAGCAGGAATGGCTCAGTCCTTACGGCACATCGGCAGGTTTACAAAAGTGAAAACGTTGAACTCGATCATGATGGAGAAGCAGAGGAACACGGCGTAGACGAACAGGCATGCGAGGCCGAGCTTGCGATCCAACTTCCAGTTGTTCAGGTAGATGCCTAGCACCTGCAACAGAGGGTCAGATCTCGACAGGTCAGTTGCTCTGCATTACCCCCTGGATGTAATGTAAAAAAACATACAACTGTATACTATTTAAACTATAAACTTTTTATGTTACCAGGTAAGGACCACTGAGCTACGCAGCTCTTTTTTGCAGACGTGATCTCGCCACAAATGATAGTTCAACGAAGTGGCATATCATGTGGGAGTTTCTAGCAGCAGTTTTTTTTTTAAATGCGGAGCGGAAAAAACCGGAAGGACCCGGAGAAAAAGCCACGTGATCACGGGGAGAACACGCAAACTCCAAATATACAGCAGGCGGTCAGGGTCGGTGGGTTGGGATCGAACCCACGTCCTCCTCTACACCAAGCGAGGTAGTTAACATCTAGCCTCCGTGGCGTCCTCCTGTAGCCTCACCCCCAACGAGCCGTTGGCCAGTGCTTGTGGCGTGCGTGAATGGATCATCGACGACATAGTTCCCTCAAATAGTGCTCTCAAATAGTTCTCTCAAATAGTTATCTTAAATAGTTCTCTCAAATAGTTCCCTCAAATAGGTCTCTCAAATAGTTCTCTCAAATAGTTATCTCAAATAGTTCTCTCAAATAGTTCTCTCAACTACAAATGTCGAGGCTTGGCGGTGGTTGGGTGGCTCGGAGGGAGCATGCTCAATTTAACACGTAGGCTTCTTGCGGCCAATATTATTCATAATACAGGTTTTTTTTGGGTTACATCGCGTGAATCTAATATATGTCGTGAGTGATAATACTGCATCAGAAACATTAAGCCAGCAGCACTGATATCAAATTCGGCACTCACGCGTGATTAAATCAGGAACTCGTTAAGTTGAGTGAGCTCATGGTCTCAGTTCAGTCACCAATGGCTGCACAAAAATCCCCATCGTCTAAAATCTATTTTTTACTTAATCTGGAATATTGCCAGTTGTGAAGAATACAAAAAGCTCACTTTCATTGCCATCTCATGAACATCTCTGCGCCAGGACATGCCCCGTGCCCCTGGCGTGCAGAAGAGGTACTCGAAGTTATCTCAGACGTAGTTCTTTGATATCGCCGTCCAGAGGCTGTTCTTTGGTGGTGCACTGCACTCTGTGAGAGTTCTGAATGACAATGTCTCTGTCCCTTGACATGATGGCGATATGCACAATTGGAGTGTGCTTGGAAAGACATTCTTAATTAAAACTCAAGGCTTAGCAGTGATGCGATTGTTTACGGAATGTTACAATCGGTGAGGTTTGTGGACGTTTGCGTGTGTATGAAAGTGCTATGTTACTCGTGTTTGTTTAACACGTAGGAGGCTTTCGCGACCAGTATCATCCATAATAGAGGTTTTTTGGGTTAGATCGCGTAAATATACATGCGTTGTTAAACACGCCACCACCCGACACAGCCAATAAGTAAGGTTTCTCATGTTAACAAAACATGCCAATTCGTTACTAGTACAGCACATCGGTGTGTTGGAGAGCAAATCCATAACATTTACAATCGTTATGTTGTGGATTGTAAATGTTGTGGATTCGCTCTTCAACACACCGGTGTGCTGTACTTGTGTAGTGACACAAATGATGTCACTACTGTGTTGCGACATTACCAATGTGCGGTGCCTCTCTATGGCACCGGCGTGAGCAAGGCACGGCATGACTCGCTAGAGGGCAGGGTCCGCGTGTCACTGAGGTCGGGTCAAGGCGTGATACCCTGTGTGAACCCTAGAGGACACGTGACCGGACGAGGGGGGCCACAGGGGACCCCCAGATGGGGGTGCGAGGGTCACGTGAGGAGGGACCCGGGCCTTCACCGAAGGATCTGGAAGGGGGCGTGGCCAAGGGCGTTAGCCGGCCACGCCGCAGCAGTTACAAGCCACGTGCCGAGAGGGATCGGGGCTGAACATCTCTGGGAAGAAATCCACTGTCGTCGAGTCTGGGTGCCTGGCCTCCGGTCTTCGCACACGTGGACCAGGCAGCGTGTTAGCTGTCCTGATCCAATTGTAGTCAACCGTGGTGGTCACCACCCTAAGTTGTTAGTGTTCACAGTTACTCAGTGGTGTTAATTAATACACGTGTTGCCTCCGAGATCAAGTGCGCGCCCGATTGAACCCACTACACCAGTAACGAATTGGTACGTTCTGTTTACGTGACAAACCTTACTAATTGGCTGTGTCGGGTGGTGGCGGGTTTAACAACACATTTATATTTACGCGATCTAACTAAAAAAAAACTATATTATGGATTACTCGTGTTTGTAATTGTCCATCTGCAAACAGGTGGCAGCGTTTGTATTATCTCGGTACAATGTTTCAGTTGCTTACACTTTTCCTTTCAGCCACTAGCTGTCACTGTAACCTCACTCAGTTTTTCCGTTCGGAAATTAAAAAAACACATTCCTGCGGAGGGAGCTGGTGGGAACGTTGGGTTACTCGGTCAATGGCCAGGGTCAACGGCGGCACCACGTGGTGTATTCCGCAAATATGCCCGACTGTGAGGGTGGGCACGAGCCGGCGTGAGTAGGTTAAACGTTGAATTTTTATAAGGGCACCACGGGGTGACCAGCCCCTCCCCACCCAGCCCCACCCCTCTCACCCCCCACCCAGCCCCACCCCTCCCCACCCTCCCCACCCTCCCCTCCCCACCCAGCCCCTCCTCACCCTCCCCTCCCCACCCAGCCCCTCCCCCCCCCAGCCCCTCCCCACCCTCCCCTCTCCACCCAGCCCCACCCCTCCCATTTTTGGATGCACGACGGACGGACGGACACAATAATCCCCTGTGGGCTGGTGTAACCAGGAGGTTCCTACCAGTAATAAGGCACATCTCTCGCCTATGCGTGTGTCATGTTTACACGCTATTGTTTTGTTTATGAATCGCTGCTGTGTCGTTGCACAGTTGCTGGTGCTGTGTTCCCGAGGGCGAATCTTGTGACAGAACGTTGTTGGGCCAGAAGCACTGAAATCCTGGGTTCATTTTTGCAAAGAAGCTAGATGGAATTATTATCCATCAAATATAAACAAATCGCACGGTCTTGAAAGGTGTCGCGTATGAAAGAGGGGAATGGGTTATTCATTAAGATATTATTTATGCACTGAGATTATTTAGATTATTTTGCTGCTATAAAGGTCCAAATGATGATACACATTGTTGGGCTGTCATTTGTGGCCAGGTTGCTTCTGAAAAATAAGTTAATACCTCAGTGGGCTTGGCCTGGTAGGATGGGGATGGAGATTCGTCTTATTTGTGTGTGTTTGGGTAATTTGTTTACCTTTCTTCTACTTTGCACTACTTTCATATTTTGTAACTATTTGTTGTTGTAACGTTCTCTTTGGTTTTTACGGTAAAGTCACGTAGGTATAAAATAATGTTTTAAAACAGTCTGCCTCAGCAGCAGACCATGCTTTCCCACCTGATGATGGACGCTTGTGTTGCGCCCGAAACGTCGTGATTTATTTTATTTTCTACCCACGTGACTTTACCGAAAGAACCAAAGAGTATGGATTCCTGCAGTCACGAAAGCTTCAAATCAATGTTGTAACGTCCTTACTTGCCCCTACTGGACATCTGTGAAAAAGAGCTTCATAGCTCATCAGATTCCTCCAGTATAAATAGAAGATTTTGATTCTGATTAAATATTTGCTTGAATCTAAACAAATTGTATGCCATCTATAAGGTGCCTTGTCCAGCATTAATGGTTGTGAGAAGAATTAAAAAGTTGTATATTATGTGAATAAATGTTTTCCATGTTACTCTGCACAGAAATATAATTCAAGTTCCACACCATGACATGGATGCGATATCTACAGTCCTGTGAATTCTCATTTACAGCTCTGTGCCGATTCTATTTCTGCATGACGGACTCCCACGTGCAGCGGTGTTCTTGGGGGTGGTTTGACCATACTTCACCACACCGGTCAATGCGCGTTAGTGATGTTTTTAGAAAATTGGTTAAGGGATAAACAAATAAATTCTGAACGTGTAGATTTCTGACTTAAAACTTTCGTGACTGCAGGAATTCATATTCTTTGGTTCTTCTCAAAATAAAAGTAAATAAAATAAAATTAATTGTAATTACTTTTTTTATCTACGTGACTTTACCAACAGAACCAAATAATATGTGTGGATTTCTGTACACCACAGCTATTAAAATACATCACACATACATGCCCGCAAAAACAATGCACATTCTGTAAAAAGGTTCTGGGTGGCAAGGTCTCCCACTAAAAAAGATTGGATATTCAATTACATTTTGCTCCTCAGTTATTTTGCACACGCCATACTTTTTTTAAAGTAACACAAAGCCAGCGCTTTCCGTCAAGGTCCTGTTCTGCTGGCAGACTTACCGTGATGCCGACTGAAGCCAAGAGTAGCACCACGGAGTATATGAGACCGCGGCTGTTTATTTCCACCTGAAGTGACAGCATACATGCGTTTGTTTTTTTTTTACGCCGGTGTATTTGTACGCAAAAGACATCAACCTCCCATTCATCCTCACGGGATGTCGCTGGGACCAAAATTCTGTCAGCAAACGCCTATTTAGGCTCGCGCTGAACACTATGGGGACGGTGTGGCGGGCCAGGAAACAACACATGGTCGCCAACGTCTTCCCAGTGTTGAGTGCTCTATACATCATGACAGGATTCACATTGTAGGCTGAGTTGACCTTGAGGCGGCCCATGACAGGGTCGTACACCAGGGTTTCCAGGATTGTATCAAGTACAACGCTCACTAAGGCACCGCTCCCCACACATGTATATAATCGATTAAACTCCAATCGTAAGCTCACGCACGGCACGTGCATCGAATCGTGCGTGTAAGCATCAATTACACAATTATTTTAATGTTGCATTCAATCTAGGGGAACATACGAGACTGTGTAAACGAGACACTAATGTATGAGAAACACTCCGAACAGGCCCTCCGAAAAAAAAGAGACAAACAAAGACGTTTGCTGAATCTACCCGTGATCCAGAATTGTAACAATTCATAAAAATTCAGAATTAGAATGTTTAGACTGGAGGAATCCGATGAGCTATACAGCTCTTTTGCACAGATGTCCAGTAGTGGTGGGGTAGTCGGAGGTGGTCAATTCTTGCATGCCTCGTAAATGTACAGCATTTGCTCAATCCACTGCTGGTTGAAAGTCTCCTCACACCACTTCGGTCGTGGAGATTGTTTGGCCACACTTCAGCGCGCTGGTCATTGTGGGCTTGTGAAGAGGCGGTGGGTGGGAGTGGGAGACGGAGCGGAGTGGCACGACTGACTCGACCTCGGATATGCCAGGTTTACAGTACAGTGCACAGTCAATCACTGCACCACAGCTCCCCCATGCTTGTGAAAATTAGACGAGAAATCTCCCTGCCGGTAATAAGCCACCACTCGAACTCCGGTCATCCTCGCAAGCAGCAGCGGCTTTTGGCAAACCGTCGAACAAAGACGGTCACCGCATCGCGTGGCGCTTTCGGATGCGCTTCTGCAACCGTCTGGAACGCTCTTCCTTCCGATATGAGGAAGCCACTGGAGCAATGCACTTTAAAATCTAAATTGGGAAAACTAATTTCTTTATAACTGCTTTTTACGTTTATTTTGTTGTCCTTCCCCCACACCTCCGATTAGGGGCCATCCATGTAGTACGGGGGGGTTAACCCAAATGTGTAAGCTTGCGTATGGGGGGTCTACTGACAACGCACGCATAGGAACCGGGGGGGGGGGGGAGGTGAAGCTTCGATAATAATTCGTCTACATTGGCCTTCAAATTAGTTAGATAGTCCGGCGGTGGACTATCTGTTTGCTTCAACACGTTAATATTATTAATCCTTGATCGTTTCTGCGTGGATTAAATATTGGTCGTTCTATAGGATTCGGGGGGGGGGGGTGGGGGGTGCGTCTATCGTACGTACACAGGTGGGGGGGGGGGGGGGGTGTAAAAAGTCCGCGTGCGTACAGGGAGGGAGGGAGGGCTCAAGTTTTGACAGATTTTTGCGTAACTGCTAATTGGATGGCCCCTTAGCACGCTTGGCTACGTACGATACGAAAGAAGCTCAACAAATATACGTAATGCCATTGTGGTGAGGCTGGGTGCTTGTGTGTGTGTGCGTGTGCGTGCACATACGTGGGATCCGTAATCCACCAGCAGCGTCTGCAGGGCCCAAGGGAGGCCCAGGCCAACCAGAATGTCAAACACGTTGCTGCCGATGGAGTTGGAGACAGCCATATCGCCCATGCCTAGGGGTTGCCGATGGGAGTGGGAACGTGGCCAGCAAGATTGCAGGTGAGATCATTTTCCAGCCATCTTTCCGCCGCAGCGTACAGTTGTCACGGGAAGCACGTGGTGAAATGCAAATGGGGTTTGTTTTTAATTACCACTCGAGAACCCCTGAGTCGTCTGGCCGCAAGAAGGTTTGTACTCAGTGTTTGTTGCAGATCAGTGTTCTGAGATTTGTGATAAAGTGGCGTGCGACTCACTGACCTGATGATATTTGGAATTTGAAGGTCAGCGATTTGGTGAGCGGTGTTTAATTCGAAACTCAAAATGGAAATTGAGATGTACAGCCCTGCAATTGCTTGCCCACGGCACTGCTGGCAGAAAGGCCTCAACTAGGGGGAGTTATAGAGGGCCCCTCTGGAGGGTATTTGGCCTATTCTTTCACGCTGGCCAGGCGTCACACTTTTCCATACCACATGCGGACCTTCCGATTGACTAACCGTCATTTACCCATTTATACTGCCGGGTGGACAGACGCTTTGGTGATTTAAGCAACGTGCCCATTGCTTCAACTGGCGTGCTGGGAGAATGAACCGGCGACCTCTGGATTGTAAGTCCCGGTGTGCTAACCAAGGCAGCATCCCCAAAATAAACGTGGAACACTTAAATGCATGAAACACTTGACAATGCTGTCACGTCATCAGAAATAAGGCCCCATGGTAAATAGACTACTAAATGTGGGGAACTTGTGATGAACCTGTTAAATATTTTAAACTTCATATTCTGGAATTTGGCCTCTGAGAGCAATTGAAATCAATGTGTGCCACATTCCACGGAAAAAAATCGCCTTACCCTGTCGTGCCACGATGAGGCTGGCCATGCAGTCGGGCACACTGGTGCCAGCCGCCAGGAAGGTGATTCCCATGATCACATCGGGAATGCCCAGCGTGTATCCAATCACGGTCACCTACAGATGGTCACAGATTGTCAATGCTGCACGCACATACTTCCCCCAAGGTCAAGTATCATTATCGTCGTCATCGTCGTTAACATCATCACGAACGTCATCATCCTCATCATGCCATCTGTCATCATGGCACGCATCGCGTTTGTTCCGTGGCTGTCCGATCGACAGAAACCTCCAGCACAACACGAGGTCATCGATCCGCAGACAAGTATTTGGGAAGAGACAATATCAACGCTGTGTCTTAATAACTGCGGGTGTTTTATAAATGTGGAAACAACAAACCGTTAATGCAAACCGGTGAAGACCAAACTCGGGAGGCCTCTGTATCAACGACTTGGTTAACCAGAGGGCCCTTCACCTTTTCACTTTTGTTCCGAAAAATAATTGGCAGCCCCAGAGGGAGTACAAAAAAAAGGGCTACTGGGCAGTCCAGGGTGCCAACTTATGAATAGTAAATGCACATCACTAATGATGACTTGGGATTTGGTAAATTGTTTTAAGTGCCAACGAAACATAATGGAACGGATGAGGCTCGAGCTAAAAATCAATCCCCGGTGTGAGACTGCATGAGTGGAGGTCAAGTGAAGGTGGCGAGTCACTTCTGCCGGACACGTGGCGATGTGGCCTGAATACAGCCACTCGCCTGATTGGATAAACGTGCTGCCTCGGTCTCCCACACCCCCCCCCCCCCCCCCCCCCAACGTCCTCATCAGTACCATTGTCGCATTTTGTGGAAAAGTGTAGTAAACTGGCACCATATTCTTTGGGTCTTTAGGTAAAGTCACGTAGATTGGTTGAAAGAAAATAACCAAAAAACTACGATTTGTTTTTCCCCTCCTGAACACGATCGCTTGTGTTGTGATCGAAACGTAGTTTTTTGTTATTTTCTTTCAACCTATCTACGTGACTTTACCGAAAGACCCAAAGAATATGAATTCCTGCAGTCACGAAAGCTTGAAGTTAATATTTTAACTGGCATCGCTCAAATACGAGGCACTGCATAAGTTGTTCACGCGCATGTACGTATGTCCTCGTGAACTTGAGAATGCGTACACATTACGTAACATGGTAAACCCGCCTTCGGATGGTCTGTGAAAATGCAGCAGTTCTCTTTTTTGATATCAGTGCCAAAGCCACGCTCATGAATATGGATAGTTAGCGAAATGTAACTCGTACTGTAATTACATTATCGCTCCCTTTTAAGGCAAGCATCATTGGTTTGTACGAAACACCGAAACAGCTTCTGTTGCATCAGAGTGTGTTGACAATGGTAATGCCTTTCATCATGAACACTTTGTATCATTATCTATAAGCATGAAACAAATTTACACAATTTACTCAAAAAGCAAATGCATGTCCAATTAACAGTAAAATACTCATTAAAAGTGCATTATAAATCATTATCGTGCAGCATTTCTCTCCTCACTATTCAACAATCAGGATTTATGAAAGCTTTGGTTACATTCACTCGAAGACATCGCTGCAACTTTAAAGAATGCTGTGACGTGGTGGACCTCACTAGAAGTAAAATTACAAGACGATTTTTCTTTTAAAAAACAAACTCTTCCTTAACAGGGCAATATGATACATCAGTGGTGAGCTAGTGTAATAATAATCATCATCAGCCACAATCAATCCACTGCTGTATTACAGCCTCCCCAAGTCTCTGCCATTCATCACAGTCCCGTGATGCAACAGAATTAGCACGTCGATGAAATGTTAACCACCTTGCCTGGTATGCAGGTCACAGGTTCGATGCCAACCCCAACGCCTGTATAGTTGGAGTTTCCATATCTTTCTTCCCATGGTTGCACGAATTTTCTCCAGGGTATTCCGGGTTTCCCCTCCACATTTAGAAACATCCGTTTAGAGTATTTGACTGATTTAAATATCCACATGACAAGCCACTTCGTTAAGCGATCGTTTATGGCCAGGTGGCTTCTGAAAAAGAGCTATATAGCGAAGTGGGCCTTACGCTGTAAAATAAAAAAATAGTTTTGTTTAGTATTAGTAATTACTGTGTACAAATATATACACGTGTGTGTATTTACCTGGCATAAAATATGGTACCGATTCATTAGTCCGAAATTGATTGCTATGCTCATGATTGCTTGCATAAAATTGCGGGTGTTAGAATTGGTTATTCAATGACACGTGGAATGTTATACGTGAGTGCCGCACGTACGCTGATGGTGCAAACCACATTGTACGGCGCCGAAACAAACTACTCAGTCAATAGGAAAACGAGGCGGTGGGAACTAGAGGCGAAAAAAAAACAGGATCGATTCCTGAAAAAAACGCCTCGGCGATGAATCCTGACGATTGGCTCGGCACGTCACGCAGGGTGCCAGCACCGCGCGACCGCCGCACGGCACCACCGCCGTGCCCGGGAACCCACCATCCAGACCATGACGTAGGAGAAGACGGCGATCCAGATGGTGGAGATCACGAAGGACGCCATGAACCAGTTCTCCCAGCGCGCTTTGGCGCAATTGGGCACCGTGAAATAGAGAAGGAGCCCCAGGGGCCACGCGAACATCCACTTGAGCTTGTTGCACACCCCGTCTGGAATTCGCAAACGTGCAACGTGTTCTTAGAATGTGAAAAATAAGAACACCAAATAGATAAATTTTGCAAGGAATCAAGTTCGCATTAACCACACGTACTTGTGGTGAATATACAAACAAACATGCTCTGATTATTATAATATATGCATTGTCTTTGAAAGTCATTGGCCTACACCAAAGACAGGTTTCTTTATGGCCTAGGCTCACCAGTGTCAGACCATAGAACGCCAAAAGGCGAACAGTGCAAGATAACAAATTATTTTGTTTGTTTATCACCAACAACGTCCGCGACTACGCTTTCTTTCGTAACATGTAACATCAAGCAACAACAACAACAACACCCCCCTCCCCCCACAACGAATGATGTTCGTGTTACAAAATGCATCGCACGGTCATGCGATAAGGCGAATAACAACACGCTGGCAGATGCATGTGGAACAAAAATCGGAGTGGGCTCCGGTGGGCATGGTGTGAACGGTAGCAAATCCTGCCCAAGCAGCTCCTTGTTGGAGAAGCACATTGTGAAGCCCCCACTGTGAACCCCCGATGTAGCTTGAGGACCGTATGGACGAAAATGTATTCAAAATATTCCGTGTGTAATGTTTATTTATTTATATTCGACTCACGTGGTGAATGCACGCGAGTGCTCGTGTCTACATTTATAGACATGCCACAGTGGTGGTGGCAGAATAATGAAATCCCATCTTTAAGAATATATTTCTACTCGGATATTTCTAATTTTCTAGGGGAAATTTTGCATGCATACATACATTGATTGTTTGATCAATTAATGCAATGCATACTACCTGTTATGGCATAGGGATCAGAAAACGTGGACATTAACAAAGATAGTAGAACATCTGAAAGGTTTGCAACAAAAGACTCACTCTTGCAATTACACTGAGAGACAGAGAAGGGAACACGTGGATTATAGGACATGTGCAGGTTAATGACATCATTCAAACTGTTAAAACGAATTTAATGTATGGATGTACGTTGAACTTCTCTCATAGTGAACCGTGGTCATCGGAGGTGCGGGAATGTAACCATTGCGGCTTATATTGATGATGATAATGAATATTGCATACATGCACTTGTATTGTGATCCTGTTTGTTAATGGAGGGGGGGAGGGGAGACACTCAATGGAGCTTGTCAATGACATTTATTTTTCTCTAAACAAGAGCAATCCGTATTCTTGGTTCTTTCGGTAAAGTCGCGTAGAAGGGAAACAATAAAATAATAAAAATATAAAGTAATATAATTCTCACAAGCAATCATCATCACACCTGATGATGATTGCTTGTGTTGCAGTCGAAAAGTCGTGATAATTTTATTGTTTTATTATTTTTTATTGTTTGCCTTCTACGTGACTTTATCGAGAGAACCAAGAATATGAATCCCTGCAGTCACGAAAGCTTTAAATAAAAATTTAAGAGCAATCCGTTTAAATTAAAAATATTCTCTGTTGGTAAGTGTCGTTTGCAATAGCTGGCCGAGAAATAACTACGATACAATCAGTTCTAATTACATGGCGGCGAAACTGATTGACTCTGCAAATCCCGGAATGACTTTGAAGTTCGGGCGACGCAACCTTCCTGACGTTCTACAGCGATTTTGCCACAGAGAAGCGCCTCGTTTCGGAAAACCGTTCCTGCTGATACAAAACTGGGGGCCATACGCAAAGGTTATTATGTAACTCAAGAGCCAAATAGACCAGAGGGAAGGCTAAATGTCGTGGAAACTGAATGCTTTCGGGGACATTGGTGAAAGAATGGTGCCAAATAATTTAAACGTAAACGCAGCGCGATAGAGAGCTGGACATTGCGAAGAGGGCGTTGATGGGATTTTGTAGTGATTTAGCGCAATTGAATTTCTATACAACCCGACAACCTGAGTTTGATTCCTGACCACGGCTAACATCAGTAGTGAGTGCTTTCCAAACGGGTCCTGGGACTCTCCCCCCCCCCCCCCCCATCATCAACCCGCACCGATCGGCATGTGGTGAAGTATGGGCAAACGACCACGTGACTGACACGGCATTAGAAGGCCTTCATCCACCAGTGGATTGACAAGGAATTGTTTTTTTGTAATGAATATTATAATAATTATTAAAGTTATACACCTTGCTGTGAGAGGTTAGATTGTGTGAAAAGGCGAAAGCGTTTATGAATTACCACAGTACATCTCCACTTTCACATTCTAAGGCCTGGTATGTGTACATATATTTATTCAAGGTAATGCACCACGATTTTAAAATAAGTGTACGCAGCAAAGCATTCATAATTTAAGACAAAAGACAAAGATCCTGCATATAGTAAAATACACTTTTGAGAGAAATGCTGTTAGTGAGCACTTCACATTATTTACCATAATTGTGTATGTTTTTCTTAACTATCTATCTGTTTGCTTTTTCAACTTTTGTATTGCTATTTTTGTTTCACACAATTGTTTATTCATTGACTCACACGATTGACGATCACCAAAAGCCACGAGTGTGCAGATTTTGTTTGCAATGGGTGAATACTCGGTGCAAACTACTCCAAGCACAGTCGACGTTGAGCCCAAAAGTTACGCATTATCAAGCTTCCACGGTGGAGTGACGGTTCGGCACAGTTGACCTTTAACCCAGGGGTGGCCGGTTAAATCTCGCGGCGAGGAGGTTGAAACGACGGTGCAAGCTTAAAAAAATCCCCCCCACCGCCTCTACCCACCCAGCAGCATTGCTTTGGTACACCGCAGTCGATGGGGTATAGTGTGGGTAACTGCCACCTCTTCCAAGGAAATTTTGTCCAGCGTGGACGAGTAGTCCACCCTTTAATAGGGGCTTCTCTGCAGCTCGCTCTCTCTCTCTCTCTCTCGTATTGGCCACTTTACTAGAAGTGGCATGAGCAAAGAATTGCATGGCTGCACTTTTAACCTTTTGGACATGAAATCACGGTATGTTGATTCTTGTCCGTCAGCCGCCGCAGTTTTTCTTTGTGTCCAAACCACACCCCCCCCCCACCCCCGTCAAGTGCTGCATATTAAGCGCCCGGAGTCAATGCGCTTCGGCATTTAAATGAGTGGAAAACTGCACGCGATGGAACCGCATGCACATGGTAAAGTTGCAGTCATTAACAAATGCAATTACGCAGCTGCAAGCGCGGTGCATTTACGCAAAGCGCCTGAAACTCTGGGCAACTGGCATTTAAAAAAAAACACACACACACTCAGCGTCGCTCACGTTACGTCAATCGCGAACCGAAACACGCGCGCGTTACCATGCGCACGTCCTTGCACAAAGCCCAACCGCCGCTGCACACGTGCACAATCACGACGGCAGGACACATCGCGGAGAGGGATGATGGCCAATGATTAAGACTAATTGTGGAGTGGCGGCCGAAGGAACAGAGAGAACATCCACTGTAGGAATGGGGCAATCAAATCGGCTCGTGTGAGCAGGTGCTGGGTGAGAAATTTGCGGCGAATTTGGAAGGCCTCTATCCAGCAGTGGATTGACCGTGGCCGATGGCGACGATGTTTTACAACGTCCTGAGACACGGTCACGTTTAGACGCTGTGTAAATTCGAGCTGCGTGGTGCACTCTATTGCATTGCCTGTGCGTTGTGTGAGCCACAATTCCAATTAAGATACGCTAATGTGATCTCATATGCCTTAATGAATTCACACTCACCATTAAAGCAGTGTTCATAAGGATGATATTGACAGTATTTTAAATGAGCAAAACACAATATACTTAACAAGCCACATGATACAAAATTAAATGGCACCATTCTGGCATCGGTGAATAACCTGTTGCCCGTCACAAGTACCTGCGCAAACACCTGCGACTGAGCTACGTTAACGACAAAAAATATCCATTCCTCTATCCCTTCCATATATGACGCACAACAGTTTAAAGAAATAAACCAGGATATAAAGTGCACACCGACTTATAAATATTTCCCCACCCCCCCCCCCAAAAAAAAAATGTTTCATAAACAAGTGATTTCACCTGTTCACATTTTTCCAGCAATATGATTCTGCCGCGCCATACTTTTACAAACCCCACGACCGAAACGTTCTAGGCACGCACGTTGCCGTACGTAGCCAACCGTGCTAATCGGAGGTGCGGCATCACGCCGAAAACAACATGCGGCACAGCACGAAAACCACGCCGGAGGGAGCGGGCGAAAGAGCCGGAGAGAAAGCGAGCGAGAGAGCCAGAGAGAGCGAGCGAGGGCTTTGCCCGTGTCCCTCTGCCGGTGGCGCTAACCGGGAGGGGAGACGGGCGAGAAGACCTCCACGTCGTCGTTCCTGTCAGCGTCGTCTTCCTTCTCCTCCTGCTGCGCTTCGCCCGGCTCGCCCTTCTCCAGCAGCAGAGCGCCACCGCCATTCTCCAGCCCGTTCTTGCTCGGCACCTTGACCGCCGCGTCCGCCTCCGTACCGTTCGGCTCGTTGCCCTGCAACACTCGCTGCCTCTGCAACGACAACAACATCAACAACAACATTAACAACATCAACAACAACAGAAAAGAACTCCACGATGTCAAGCGTTCAGCAACTAGCAGGGGCAAGTTGCTTTACTTTCACATTTGTATTTTTGTGTGTGTGGGATTAAGGTCTGGAGACTGGCTAGGCCACCTTAATGTGCTTCTTCTTGAGGCACTCCTTTGTTGCCTTGGCCGTTTGTTTTGGGTGATTGTAATACTGGAATACCCATCCACGACCCATTTTCAATGCCCTGGCTGAGGGAAGGAGGTTCTCACCCAAGATTTGACGGTACATGGCCCCGTCCATCGTCCCTTTGATGCGGTGAAGTTGTCCTGTCCCCTTAGCAGAAAAACACCCCCAAAGTATAATGTTTCCACCTCCGTGTTTGACGGTGGGGATGGTGTTCTTGGGGTCATAGGCAGCATTCCTCCTCCTCCAAACACGGCGAGTTGAGTTGATGCCAAAGAGCTCCATTTTGGTCTCATCTGACCACAACACTTTCACCCAGTTGTCCTCTGAATCATTAAGATGTTCATTGGCAAACTTCAGACGGGCATGTATATATGCTTTCTTGAGCAGGGGGACTTTGCGGGCGCTGCAGGATTTCAGTCCTTCACGGCATAGTGTGTTACCAATTGTTTTCTTGGTGACTATGGTCCCAGCTGCCTTGAGATCATTGACAAGATCCTCCCGTGTAGTTCTGGGCTGATTCCTCACCGTTCTCATGATCATTGCAACTCCACGAGGTGAGATCTTGCATGGAGCCCCAGGCCGAGGGAGATTGACAGTTCTTTTGTGTTTCTTCCATTTGCGAATAATCGCACCAACTGTTGTCACCTTCTCACCAAGCTGCTTGGCAATGGTCTTGTAGCCCATTCCAGCCTTGTGTATCTCTACAGTCTTGTCCCTGACATCCTTGGAGAGCTCTTTGGTCTTGGCCATGGTGGAGAGTTTGGAATCTGATTGATTGATTGCTTCTGTGGACAGGTGTCTTTTATACAGGTAACAAGCTGAGATTAGGAGCACTCCATTTAAGAGTGTGCTCCTAATCTCAGCTCATTACCTGCATAAAAGACACCTGGGAGCCAGAAATTTTTCTTATTGAGAGGGGGTCAAATACTCATTTCCCTCATTAAAATGCAAATCAATTTATAACATTTTTGACTGCGTTTTTCTGGATTTTTTTGTAGTTATTCTGCCTCTCACTGTTCAAATAAACCTACCATTAAAATTATAGACTGATAATTTCTTCGTCAGTGGGCAAACGTACAAAATAAGCAGGGGATCAAATACATTTTTTCCCTCACTGTATCTCTTCCACAGGGAAGGTCTGAGGGTGGAAGTCTGGATGGCATCTGATGCAAATTTCTCCATGAAAACATTGGCTATCACTGGTGATAAGGGAGAACCCATGGGGGTACCCTCACTTTATGCTAATTCCTTTGTCAAAGGGTTTGGTTACCTCCCACACAGCTTAAAGGACGCGACCTGGCTTGACTTTCTTAATTCCTACGCTGTCTTCGTGACACCACGGTCCCTTCACCTGATGAAGGCCACTTGTGTTGTGGCCGAAACGTCGTGATTTTTGTTGTTTTATTTTTACCTACGTGACTTTACCAAATAGAACCAAAGAGTAGGGAGCTGAAGGTTCAAGTTGCCAAACGTCAGCCTCGAAACCTTAATGACTTGGAGAAAATCTGCAAAGAGGAGTGGGACAAAATCCCTCCTGAGATGTGTGAAACCTGGTGGCCAACTACAAGAAACGTCTGACCTCTGTGATTTCCAACAAGGGTTTTGCCACTAAGTACTAAGTCATGTTTTGCAGAGGGGTCAAATACTTATTTCCCTCATTAAAATGCAAATCAATTTATAACATTTTTGACATGCATTTTTCTGGATTTTGTTGTTGTTATTCTGTCTCTCACTGTTCAAATAAACCTACCATTAATATTATAGACTGATCATGTCTTTGTCAGTGGGCAAACGTACAAAAGCAGCAGGGGATCAAATACTTTTTTCCCTCACTGTATTTGTACTCATCATAATATGCCACTACAGCATAATTAAATCTGAACCTTTTGAATAAGCCGCACGTTTGAATGAAGACAAATTGCATTTTCACTTGTAAGCAACAACTCTCGCATCATATTCGTGTGTTTGCCCCCAACGTAATCTATATTTATGAGAAATTTTACTACAACAAATTATGCAAAATTGAAATGTTCGTGGGGAAATAATCAATGCGGCCAGTTTTTTGTTGAATTTTAATCATAAGTTACACCTCTTGTAGGTAATTGCATTATTAATTCAAAACAATGTTCCAGCATATACAGGAATAGCTACACACTACCCAAAAGAAAGTCTGTGCCAGATTAATTACTCTCCGTGTAATTTATATTTCTTCATGTCATGGTACATTTATGACTTTGTTCCCTCCCTGTATCCCCACAACCTAATCACTACTGCCCTGTATCCCCACTACCTCATCACTACTGCCCTGTATCCCCACTACCTCATCACTACTGCCCTGTATCCCCACTACCTCATCACTACTGCCCTGTATCCCCACTACCTCATCACTACTGCCCTGTATCCCCACTACCTCATCACTACTGCCCTGTATCCCCACTACCTCATCACTAATGAATAAAAAGAACGATTCTCGTTGTGAGTGAAACAACCTGAGATGCCATCGGAGATTCGTGTGTTGCAGAGAAGCAGTTTTACTTATTCATAAGGAGCATGAAAGGGGATGGAAAGATCAGTCAGTAAAAAAAAAACCTCTGATGTGTTATCAAGCTGTACCATCCCGATGTCCGAAGTTTCGCTCCACATGCTGGGAGCTTTTGCAGGAACTGAACTGACAAATAGTTGTTTTCACCTTTGTGTCGGGGGCTGAATTTAATCGTCCGAGCGCTGAACCTGAATTATTCCTGGAGAAGCTCTCCGCACGGGGAGCGGAACGTCGGACATTATACGGAACGACAACACGCGGTACATCCCAAAAACACATCAGAGAGCGACACATCAGCACAACTGCGTAAAAAATCCCATTCAGTAGTTGTAGCAGGAGCCGCTGTTTTAACAACAAATTCATTCGGTGCCTGATTCCTCCATGAGGCTGAGTAGGCAGGCCAAGAGCAGGCACACCTAACAACAATAGTTTGTTGTCCTTCCCCGCACCTCCGATTATCACGGTTGGCTACGTACGGTGCGAAAGAAGTTCAACATACATACATGATAATTTCACTTTTATACGGCGTCGTTCATGATAATTGCATCTCACAATGCTGTACAATAATTACATTCAGACATTTGACACCGCACCATCGTTTGCTTGCTTAAGCAAATGATGTTGAATATTATTGGTCTGCATAGCCGATTGAAAAAATATACAAATATCTTGTTATTTGAATATAAATTGAGGCGCTGTTGTGGCAAAATGTTAACTCCTTTGCCTGGTGTGCAGGAGTTCATGGGTTCAATCCCAACCCTGACGCCTGTTATATATTTGGAGTTTGCGTGTTCTCCCCGTGGTCATGTGGATTTTACTCTGGGTCCTTCGGTTTTTCCCTCCACATTTAGAATCAACACGCGTTTATAGTAATTGGCTGCTTTAAATTTCCATGCGATAAGCCACTTCGTTGAGCTATGATTTGTGGCCAGGTCGCTTCTGAAAAAGTGCTGTATAGCTCAGTGGGCCTTACCTGGTAAAAACAAAAAAAAGAGCTGTACAGCTGATAAAATAAAATGTTTTGTTAAAAAACAAAAAAGTGTTTTTTTTAAAAACACACAGAACGAGAGTTCTCCTTATGCCACACGCGTTGGACCCACCTCCAGGATGAGCATGCGGCTTGCCATTCGTAGGCGAGTGCGTGGCCCAAAGTGGCTGGTGATCATCATGCGCAGGCCGGCCTCCGAAAAGCTCAGCTTGTGGGGCTGACTGTAGAGGATCTCGTCCACCATGATGACGGAGGAGTGCGGGGCGGAACTTCCTGCCGTCGCACGGCAAACACCGCCAGCCCGTTAACACAGGGATCAGAACGCTGCTAGCGAGCACCCACGAAGGCCGGCCACAGCACACGAGGGGGACGAATGGACAACTGCTACGCCGGGCCGTCTTAGTCTCCCCCCACTCCGTCCCACAGTTGCTGATGGTTTGCACACCGCACCAGGTACTCGTTTTAAGGCTGAGGTCGATGGACAGGAGGGCACAGGGACGACCGGTTCAAATATTCAACAAGCTGTTTTTTTTTTGGCCGCGAGCGGGAATCGAACTGGAGTTGGCGGGTTTGTGGCGCAGTGCACGAACTCCTGCACCGCTGCTCCTCACAGTGCACGTGCACACGCGCGTGCATAACATGCACACATTACAGCGCAAAGTTAAATTACTCTTGTAAACCGCACTCCAGATAAGCTGCATACGGACATTTTATGCTTTCAACAAATATGAATTACAGACGATATTAAAAATGTAGAGCGTGATTAATAGGAATAGAAATGTTTCTGGGCAGCTTGAGTTCGCCTCGCAGTCTTTCAAAGTACCGTTACCGTTTAAACGTAAGGCACTAGTTAATGCATACCCCATAAGTTAGCATTAAAGATTTACAGTATTTCTCAAAATTATTCATGGCTTCAAAGTTAAGGTGCAGCCCTGAATTTCCTGCTCCCGCCACCGCTAGCAAAAGGGCATCCACTACAGGGAGGTCCAGAGAGCCCCTCGAAGAAGCGATTTTGGCCTTCTCTTCCACGATGGCCAGATGCATTGCAAGAGGTGGGAGTTCACACATTTGACTGCAATTAATGATGTGTTGTACGCAATGATACTGTTTGGTGGACAAATCGGAGTGGGGCATTTAAGAAACCTGCACCGTTGTTTCAACTGCCACAGCTGGAGATGGAATACGAACCGGCGACCTCTGGGTTGCAAGTCCACTATGCTAACCAATAACACCACGACAGCACTAACCAAGAATTCCGTGTAATATATTTAAATTGAGTTCATAACAACGTGCATAATCAATTCCGCCACGTAGCTTTAAAATCGCATGACACGAGTTCAGAGTAACATTGTGGTTAAAATGTAAGGCTCTATTTGATGCACACCTCATAGGTTACCGTTAGAGATCATACATTATTTATCGACATTACTCGTGACTTCAAGGTAATGTTTCATTTCAACTGCCGGAAAATACCATTTCACTCGCATGTTGTCAAAATCAGGGGGTAAATTACTCGATCAAAAAATCTCATGTGGAGCAACGCTTGAAAATGTTTACAATGCAAAATCATTCGTTAAAAAAGGTTTGCCTGTTATGGAAAGATAGGGTATTTTTAATTGTGATTTGATGTCAACGGCGAGAATTTCCGATATTGCACGCCTCAAGGTCATTGTGACGTAATGGTGCCCATAGAGAAAATTCAGTGGAAGGCTGAGCACAATTAAATCTTGCGTGCATACAAATGGCATGGCTTTTCATTGGCAAATTACGTAGACGTTGTTTCATTGTAGTTTAAAGTGCTTTGAGAAACCAATTCGAATCATGTACACATACACACAAGCTGCATTAAAACTACTCTTTGGTTTTATTCGGTAAAGTCACGTAGATAAAATAAAATAAAACAAAATAATTAAATCACGACGTTTCGGCCACAACACAAGTAGCCTTCTTCAGGTGAAGAGACAAGACTGTCCAGAAGACAGCGCTCGAGTGAGTATTGCCAAGCTCGGACGGTGCCTTTTAAGCTGTGTGGGAGGAATTAACATATGAATTAGCATGTTAATATGTTAATTCCTTCCCACACGGCTTAAAAGGCACCGTCCGAGCTTGGCAATGCTCACTCAAGCGCTGTCTTCTGGACAGTCTTGTCTCTTCACCTGAAGAAGGCTACCTGTGTTGTGGCCGAAACGTCGTGATTTAATTATTTTGTTTTATTTTATTTCACCTACGTGACTTTACCGAATAAAACCAAAGAGTATGAATCATTGCAGTCACGAAAGCTTCAAATCTAGAATGCATTAAAACTAACATTTTTTTGTCTAACCAGGTAAGGCTTCACTGAGCCCTAGAGCTCTTTGTCAGAAGCGACCTGGCCACAAATGATAACTCAACCAGGTGGAAATGCATCGCAGCCAAATACTTTAAATGCATGACCCTGAATGTGGAGGGAAAAAACCACAGGATCCGGAGAAAATTCCACGCAACCACGGGGAGAGAAACACGCAAACTCTAAATATACAGCAGGCGTCAGAGCCAGGATCGCACCCACGACCTCTTGCATACCAGGCAAGGGAGTTAACCTCTCGCCACCGTGGCGCCCCATAATATATGTATCCTCCATTTGATATGATATAGTGTTGCAATGTCACAGAGGTCATGTGGTTGGTGTGTACACAACCAGACATGTTACTAAGGCGTGGCAACAGCGGTCACGTAAATCATTCATAGAATAAAGCGCAGGGGTCCGTAGGACGCGACATTTATAGAACAACTCGTGGAAACGTGACGCAAACATTTGGCAAATATTCATTTCCATGGAAGCACAAATTGTTTACGTTAGATCCCCCTCCATATTTCTGCACAGTCGAATCACGCGCGGATAAACAATGGCAATCAGCGGAGGCATCGGTGCGATCGTCACAACGTTTTCCCTCCACTTTCTGGCGGCTGCCGAGCGTTCGCTTTGCAAATGCCGAACCGCGATTCGAAATTGACGAATTGTACGGCTCACGCGATCCACGTTCGGAGATGCCGGCTTCGTCCCTAATGCGCATTCTGCAGGCGGCTCGTTCGGAGCGCGCGAGCGAGCGCGAGCGAGCGTGCTCGCGACGCACCAGTGCCCCGCCGGGCCCCAGCGCACACGCAAGGCGAGCACTCCGCGGCGTTCTTACACTGTTAGCGCCAAACACATATATATATATGAATATAGAGGAAAAGCGTTTGTTACGTGCTGTGAGAGCAGCACTGTTTGATTCGCGGCAAGCGATGCAGGAAGCACCGGGGCAAGCGGTGCAATAAAAAAGCCAGAAACCCCGGTAAGATTATAATTGTGAGACTATGACAAGTTTCACCACCCGCGCCGTTATAATTTTTCAAAAGGTCACGGTTACAAAAAAGGAAGGCATTCCCTTTCAGTTTGTTCCTTCGAACATTTGGCTACATTTTCACCTTTACTCTATCGTCAACCGTAATGTTTCCCTTGTCATCGTATCGTTAAGAGGAGCTCCAACTGGGAATTTACAGAACAGCGATATCGATATTGAGATGAAGCTGGTCATGTTTGTGGTTATCCGCCAAAGTAATCCTCGACTCACAATTCGCGTTGCCATCATACGGCAATACAGTACGACAATTTATCATACGATGTAAGAACCACGATGATCATGGAGTGTCTATAGTACGATCCCGGGAAACATGCCAACTGTAGGGCCATCGTAGGATGTGATTGGAAACGTTGGACCTACCTTGGCCCAATGTTCCATTTTAACTGGGATATCATTATATTGTGATTATCAATGCAAATGTTATTTAAAGATATATTTTATTTCCTGACATAGTAGGTATTGTTTGCTAACAACCACAGTGATTACATTCGCAAACAAATAGCAATTACCCATTTAATTTGGTGCGTTAGAAAACGTTTTGCGGATGAATTAACAGCGCGGCGGTTATATGACATCATTATTTTTGCAGCTCTTTTCATAACTTAATTATTCCTCATGTAGCTAACCACATGTGCATTAAACAATGCATTATAGATTGTAAAATTGCAAAGATTGACTACAGCGCGGAGACCGAGGAAAGACCAAAGAAACGGAGGAAGACAGCGGAAAAGATGATCCAGGAGTTCAGAGGTCACTCCTGGATCGGCATTGTGTTGCCTTATTTAAAAAAAAATCCTTCGTGGTTTTGCCGAGTGGCAGAAACGTTGCCATAGCGATACTGTGAGGTGCGCTTCAACGGCAGCACATCACAGCAATGAGCATGATGCTCCTTGTAAAGCAGAAAAATATATTTTAGCAGGTAAGGTTCACTGAGCTCTATAGCGCTTTTTCAGAAGCGACCTGGCCACAAATGATAGCTCAACGAAGTGGCTTATCACGTGGGAATGTACAGCAGCCAATCACTCGAAAACCGTGACGTTGATTCTAAATCTGGAGGCAAAAAAACGGAGGATCCGGAGAAAAATCCACACCACCACGGCGAGAAAGAAAGAGACACCGCAAAACTCCAAATAAATAGCAGCAGGCGTCAGAGTCGGGATCGAACTCCACGACCTCCTGTACACAAGGTGAGGGAGTTAACATCTCCTCGCCATCGTCATGATTATGATGATAGAGAGATGCACGCAAAACTCTAAATATACAGCAGCAGGCGTCAGGGTCGGGATCGAACTCCACGACCTCCTGTACACTAGGCGAGGGAGTTAACATCTCCTCGCCATCGTGATGATTATGATGATAGAGAGATGCACGCAAAACTCCAAATATACAGCAGCAGGCGTCAGGGTCGGGATCGAACTCCACGACCTCCTGTACACTAGGCGAGGGAGTTAACATCTCCTCGCCATCGTCATGATTATGATGATAGAGAGATGCACGCAAAACTCCAAATATACAGCAGCAGGCGTCAGGGTCGGGATCGAACTCCACGACCTCCTGTACACCAGGCGAGGGAGTTAACATCTCGCCACGGGGAGATTCAGCGATGGGGGTGGGAGGAGGGGGGTTGTGGTCTCACCTTTGCTGAGCAGAACCATGGTGGGGTCGTAGCTGTTGCTGTCGTCCACATCAACGCCATGCGTGGTACCGTTTGCCATGGCCACGGCGCAGGGCTTCCGCTTACTGCCCAAGAACGTCTGGATCTTCATATTGAACCTTTGCGTGGGAAGGAAAGGGGAAGGGGAAAAAAGGAGCGAACACGCAAAGGTAAAATGCACGATCGGGGGGATGGGGGATGGTGACAGGGTGGGGGGATGGTGACAGCGGGAGGGGTAATTGGACGACATAGAGATGAACAAAATCACCGTACGGGTACGTGTGCATTGTTAACCCACGTCTCAGCTCCCTTCCTCTCAAAAAATCTCAAACTCTGTACCCTGTGGGTCACCTCGGAGATACAACCATCTCATGGCTCCTGCTCCCTCCCCTCACACACACACACTTTTGGTTGTTGTCAGCCTGTAACTTCCCAATGTTGGGCAAAGGGCCTTCCCTTGATCAACTTCCAATCCTTCCTTCTCTCATTTGCGCCTGTACAGTAGTGACCTCCGAACTCTGAGCTGTATGTCTACGTCGAACTTCTGTGGCACCGTACGTAGCCAGCCGCGCCATCTCCGCCACTGTCTGCTCTCGGGTCTCTCCGCTGCAAAGTTAATATGTCTCATCAGTTGTTCTCAAGACGTGGCTTGCCTAGTTCCACTGTAATACCGTTGCTTTACCCACACGCATTGGGCATTTACCCCTTCCATGCCCGCCCACTATCTCCACCCCCCACCAACCACCCTCCCCCTCACCCTCCTTCTCACACCACCCTCACCTCCTCCACAAGCAGCTCGTCATCATGCGTAATGCCATTGATGCTGGCCAGGCATACTCATTTTGAACGTTCAATCACTCTGCCAAGGCGGCTACATTCATTGCAACGTAAACAATTGCATCTTTGCCTGTATTTGGATGTTGGTTATTCGACAAATATTTTTCCTTTGTAGCAGTTTGACAATTCATCTTAGTGTACCCGTATTGTTTTATCGCAATTGAATACAACACTTGAATTAACAAAATGTGCAGTACTTTTAAATCTACTGATAGATGAAGGCCTCCCCACAACGTGTGGGTCATGGGCGTTGTTTGACCATACTTCACCACTCTTGTTTAAGGTCCAGTTCAGATATCACTCACGACTGACGAAAGTCATGGTTAGGAATCGAACCATGTTCATGGAGAAGTTTGCCAAATTTACATTTTATCAAAACTTGTTTATTACATATCATCTGCTACATTACTCCAGAGCTATTATATGCATCTAGAATGGCTGACTATCGGAAGTTTACGAGCTCACATCCTGGTTGGTGGTTAACCCATCATCCCTCCAGGGTTGATAAAATTGATACCACGTTTTGGTGAAGTCAGTGATTGTTCCATGGACTGACTCAACCCCTGCGAAAGGATTGTCAAATTTCCACCACAGGCTTAGGGCTCTAAACGGGAGGTGAGCAATCAAGACTCAAATCAAGACCAATGCTTATACACTTAGATTTTTTACAACTAATCTATCACATCGGTTGAGAGATGTTATTTCCCTCGTCTGGTACACATGAGGAAATGGGTTCGACCTTGACGATGCCTGCTGTATATTTGGAGTTCACGTGATGTCTCTCCCCGTGGTCACCTTGGATTTTTACATGGTTCTTCCGGTTTTTCCCTCGACATTTAGAAACATGCGTTTTGGTTATTATTTGGCTGCAACAATGAATTCTTACATGTGAAATATAAGACACTATGATGAGTTATCATGTGTGGCCAGGTCACCTCTGAGCTAATAGCCCAGTGAAATCTTGACTTAAAGCTTTCGTGACTGCAGGAATTAATATTCCTTGGGTCTTTCGGTTAAGCCACGTAGGTAGGTTCAAAGAAAATACCAAAAAAATAATTTTCAAAAACTACGACGTTTCGATCGCAACACAAGCGTTCGTCATGAGGAAGAAAACTTAAAAATAGTTTAGTTTTCTAAAGTTTACTAAAATATTTTTGATGTTTGGCAACAGATAACAAGACCATCCCCCTCCCCCCCCGTGTACTTACTTCATCACTAATATGTACAAAGCGTAGAGCATGATGAGAATCACCGACTCCCACCTATCGTGCACAGTAACAGGGATCAACAGGGTCACAGCAACAGGGTCACAGTTTTAGACAAATGGTCCGTAAGCTGCTTTATACAACGAGATCACTGCCAATGACAAAGTGAGGCCCCCTCAGGAAGCTCACGACACAGGATCCGCGAAATGTCGGACTACGTGCACAAGCAGCAAATCACACCATTAGGGATAAACAGAATACAACCATTAAAAGAAGTGAATTAATATATACCCAGAAATGTAGTTCAACTTACCATGATACAATTTCATCGCAAATGAACTAAGAAAAAAAGAGAACAAACAGAAAATTTAAGCGAGGCATTCGACAACAAACTTTATGCTACATGATCTACAATCCACTGAAAACGCTAGGTTTACGGAGCAGAGTTTGTACTCCATGGAATACTACATTGCTTTTTAAATGGGCCGTGCCGCTATCCACCCATCAGTATCATAAATGGGTACACCACGGCACGTTTCTCGTTTCTTTGTTGCACAGAAGCAAGTCATCGTTGCTTTGCGTGAGAGAGAGTGCACCCCGAGCAATTCAAAGCTCAATTTTCTGCACTTCAGAGGAACTGCTGGAAGGCCTTCTAACAAGCGGATGTTTACTGCGGCCATGGGTTAGTGACGTTGCCTTGTTATACATATTTTCCTTTTCTTTACGTTTTTTTTATTACATTTCATCTACACAACAGCCAAAAGATAGAGTGAGTGAAATTGAAAAGGGGAATGGCAGCGCGTGAGTGAGCGAGCGAGCGAGCGAGCACAAGGTAGATTTATTTCAAACCATTACATGAAATGTTTTCTCCTGAGGTGTGCTGTCAGACCGGTCATCTCTCGCTTGTTCAGTGTTTAGCATCCAAAAAACTCTCCTCCTTGCGTTTGGCGCGAGAAAATTGGACAGCTGGAAACTGGCCAACCACAGCTGCAGAGATGTATGCAGACACCACGCTAAGCCCTATGTGGTGCAACAACAGGTGATTGCGATCTTCATCCAGGAAATTAGGCTGTTGGCTTTGCTGGCTTCATAAAACGTTTCTGTATTTTTTAGCACAAGTTTTAACGACGCGAGCAAAACCAGCACGACCGCACCTGGTTTTTTTTTTTATGAAGTGTAATTTTCTGATATTTTCTAGGGACAGTATATTTTTTTGACAACTGAACAGGGATCGCAACGTGGTTTGTGGATATACCGTCAGACTTGGATTACTCATTCCCTGAAACGGCCATAAAGTGCTGAAAGAACACCAGAACGATGGTGATTTGCCGGTTCCAATGGTGTCTGGCCATATATGGAAAAAATATCGGAACTGACTCTGGCTAGACATCATAATCAGTATATAATATATAAAAGGTATGTCAGCTGTCTTAATCGTATATTAATGAAAATTAACTCATTATGTATTGCGATGGAGAATTATGGGTAAAAGCAGAACTCCATTCTGTGTCTCCGCATGTAAATCACAAATAGTGTTGAAGCCAATCAGCCCATTGGCTTTCCAGACAATATTATCTTCTTATGGGACGAAGACACATGTTTTACATATGTGGAGACATGGAACGTAATTCTTCCTCGTTTGCTTGTTACCAGTCATGCTCCAACATAACACATCACGCGTTTGTGTATTGCTATGGCTTGTTGCATTGAATAGGGGGGGGGGGGATCCCATGGTTAATATGCAGTGCTCTCACCAATAACATCTGAAAATCCAGCAGCGTTTTTTTATGCAAAGCCTGACTGATGATGAGATGCAAGAATGTCACAACCGGTGGTACCAGAGTTTGCTCCATAAGAGTTTTTTTTGGGGGTTAGATCACGTAACTATATAAATGTGTCATTAAAACACGCCACCACCCGACACAGCCAACTAGTAAGGGTTGTCAGTAAACAGAACGTGGCCAATTCGTCACTAGTACAGCACACCGGTGTGTTGGAGAGCCAAGCCACAACATTTACAATCTGAGTACGACGTTTCGCCAGTAATTATAACTAGCTTCATCAGGCGACAGACATATTTGTGGAGGTCTAACTATTTCGTTCCTTATATAGAGGTGGAGATGTGGTGACCACACTTCTGTGCTATTGCGCGGTGGGGGGGAGATTAATGAGCGATCGTACATTATAACGACACGTTTATATATTTATGCAATCTAACCCAAAAAACATCTATTATGGATGATATTGGTCGCGAAAGCCTTGGTGATAAACAGAGTTTGCTCCCTTAAACAAATGCTGTTTGTTAATATTGGTTGTGGGGAGCCAATTGGCCACTGGAATAAATAGATATTTTAATTTGTATGTGGTGACAACGACTGGAGTTCTGATTATATTTTGTATTCACGAAATAGAAGCCAATTAATGAGGACGGATAGGCGATGTCACAGTGTACTTCTAATCAAGCGTTATTTCATTAAAAAATACCTGAGAGGGTTATGCCAAGTGAGCAGCTTTATGATAACGAGCTGCACGTTTGCAATGCCTGTGCTAATGTGTAAACATTTATTACTATTGTGACGCAGTTTACAAAGAAGTCTGCCTTTCCGTAATGGATGCCAAACAAATTTCGGTGCATAATTTTTCCCTTACACAAAGTGGATCGTGGAATACACAAAGGGACCTTGCTAAAAGCATCATGAATTAGAAAGAGGTTGGTACGTTACGTAATTATGAACGCGATGCGTTCATAATTTCGCTAATACCGCTGTTGAACACGGCAAAGTAACTAATTGACTGCCACGCGAATATTTAGTCTTCATTGGCAATTTGTCATCGACGACGAACACTTGACGTGGCCAGGAGAGATTGTGTGGAGTCTTGAGCGTTATCTCTCGTTGACACGTGTGGTGGGCATCTTCTTGGTCACCCTGGTTTCCTCCCACACAAATACAGACACGCGTTCAATGTACAATGCCAAACGTCCCAATTCGGCATCCTCCTGAGCAACAGCCTTGAGGCTCTTGTTGGATAAATTAGTGTACTTTTTTTTCTTCTTCACGACACCTTTTAGGACCCTCCCCCCCCCCCCCCCTTTGATATGTGTATATATTTACACACTTTTTTCACGTGAAGAACTGTGCATGCCGCTTTTGCTGGCACAAAATGTTAATGAGCAAACCCCACATGGTTATTTCAAATAAGGTTGGAACTATATTGTCAGCTGCCTTTACGCCACAAGGTTAGACATTTACTTTTAATCCACGCACAGAATTAAAGTGTGGGGGGGGGAAGGGAGACGTATTACAAATAATTGCAAATGTTACTAATTACAGTTCACTTCACGACTTGCTAATCTGTTTCCCTGCATTATCAAACAGACGCCAGCATGAGTCACTTCCCCCCCCCCTCCCTCAGGGAAAAAGGGGACCAGTAAAACACGGAGGGGAAATTTCAGAGTTATTCAACTCTCAGCTATCGCCTGCATTTCATTTACAGCGCTTTGTGAATCTCCTGCGGGATGAGGGCTCCCCCACACTGCGATGGTCACATGGGTTGCTGTACCAAATTTCACCACTTCGGTGCGAGTTGATGGAGGGGGAGAGGTGGGGGGGGGGGTCCCAGGACCAGCTTGGACAGCACTCGCCACTGATGTTAGCCGTGGCCAGGAATCGGACTCAGGCTCTTCCCAGGTTCACGGCGCAGTGCGCAAACCAACGCGCCACCATTCCCAAGGATACATGTTTTCATTTTCAGGTTTCAAAGTGAGCGAGGTACGTCAGTTGGTAGCAGTTCATTTTTTGGCATGTAAATATGTTTTCCGTACATTGCCTTATAAGCGTCACCAGAGCTCAGACTATTTAATGCTCTATATCTTCACGGGATAATTGCATCATAATGTCTTCAGTGAGTCGAGATTAATGCTTTTAATTGTTTCATTTGTCTAGCACCGTGCGGCCATGTATGAAATATCGTTCCAGTGCACACATTAACAGATTTATAATGAAACATTTGTAATCCCACGACTTTCAAGGATACATTAATTGAGCAAATAAGAGTGACGCTGGGATGAGAAGCACGTCTGAAAATATCCTCATCAAAGAGAACTTGTGTCGGAGAGCGTCAGTGAGACTGTTTGTTAATCTAGCATTAATCCAGAGAGCTAATTTAAACAGGAGAATGTTTCACTAAAAAATTCTGAGAAAATGGTGATGAGTCTCTTCAACAACAGTGAGTCAAGAGACACCCAGGAAAATGTAACATTTAAAAAAAACGGTTACGGGCAAATATGTCAGGAGCTGCGATTTAAAGCAATGTCAAGTAAAAATGTCACATCTGTACACTCTATAGAAGAGAAATGTAAGATAATATTCCGTGGATAAAACAAGGCAAAGGTTTGGGCCAGAATATCCTTGCGAACGCCACCGCTCATGCACAGATTTCTACTCGAGGAAGCTCTGGAGGCCCCCTCTTGAGGTTAATTGGCCTACTCTTCCACACACACACTCTTTCGATGCCGAGGTATAGGTATACATTTTTACCGCTGGGTGAACAGAGGCAGGGGAGGTCAAATAAACTTGCACCGTTGTTTCAACTGCGGTGCCCGGAGATCTAACTTGCGCCCTGTGCACTGCAAGTCTGGTGTGCCAACCATTGCGGCAGTGTCCAAGATTATATAATATAGCCAACCCTTATTTCTTCCACAGTTCAATCTATAGAGCAGCCCAACATTTAATAGTCATATATATGTGTGTGTATATATACGTTGGGCATGGGAGGTGGTGATATGGTGATCGCCACACTGCTGAAATTATACTGACTGAACTTGTACTTTAAAAACAATGTCAGCTTCTCTTCTGGTAAAAACAAGGGTGGCCAAGAATGGTTCTGGTACCATCACCGCCTCGTGTCGTTAATGCTCACCCCCTGATCTACAACAGATGAACATTAACAGCACGAACAAAGAGAGACAACCCATATTGGATGTGCAGTGCACATATGTCCCTGTATGTACAAAAAAACATGTACAGATTCCCGTATAGCCTTTTTAGAAAGTTGGAGCAGGCACTGAGGGAGCATCTATCGAGGCTGGTACAGCACACAAGGGGGTAGTGTGGTCAGGACCATGCCCAGCTTCCTTTGGCTCGCCAGTGCTGAGGTTTGCACAATGCACCAGGTACTAATTTAATGCTGCGTTGACCTAGGTGAGGCCCTGGACAGGTTCTGATTTTATTCACCACTGGTGTTAGCTGAGGCAGGGAATTGATCCCGGGTAACCAGTTTTGTAGCAGAGTGCACTGACCACTATGCCACCACTCACCATGAATATAAAAAGATATATAAATGTGAAGGATGAGTTTCAGATTAAACATTTCCATGATTGTATTTTCAGATATGTGTCTAATTTAGGGTGTATTTAGTATGTGCGTACTGACGTGCATTATATTTAATGTTAGCATTTTAAATGTTTTAAATAATTAAACTCAATTATTTAACATAAAGTATCATCGATAAAATCATTTTAATGTTTTTTAAATGAATAAATCAGGCAAAAGTGACGTGATGTACCGTCAGCAGGAAAAGCACTGAATTGTCACCATGACAATAACATCACATTATCGGATCCATCTGAAATTTCATATCTGGGCCAGATTTTTGGATTGTTCAGATTTAATCCTAAATCACATATAATAGCACAGCATACGCAGGACGCGGACGACTGCCAGACAAGGCACAGGGCCTGACTGATTGACAAATAATTTACCGTACATGCAGCAAGACAGCGTCAAATTGGCACGTTGTGTTGTTGTTGAGCGTCCCTCCCAGAGCCCGAGGGTCGAATAACTTATTTGCACAGATGATGCAACAGAAACCCTGGGGGCCTTTGTCTTCCCCACGGTGTTGCTGCCACTCACCAAAATCAATGCAATGATGGAGATGGTGTAGAAGACGGAATCTCGGAAGAGCGACCACCAGGTGAGACGCACGATCTGAAACAAGCCACACAAAAGGGGATCGACTCGATGCCAAACCGCGACTTCTCATTTCACCCGCTTTGCGTTGTCGCTTTTGGAGACCGGGGAGATCGTCGGTCGATGTTCGGTCGCCGCGTCGACGGCGTTCGTCATGATTTGGGGCCTGCGCGAAGGCTGCCAACTTCCCCGACAAGACCGTGCCACTTATAACGATGCAATGCCCGCTCCGCAAATACGAAGCAGGCATCGCAGTGATACACAACTCCGCTGCTCCCGACGCGGTTGTCTAGCTTGCCCACCTGAATGTGAAATTGTAGATTGTTGCTCTGCATCTACATCAGCCATTCGAAAGAACAATGTTTCATCCGCGCTGTTGTTTTTTACACACGAACCTGCTGCTTGGCTCTTGCGAGGGCTCGGTGTGAGCTTCGGAAGCCGGGACCGAACGCGACCGAATCGAGAGCAAGACAAATTACAAAATTCCCAGGATTTACCAGATGCGCGTAAAGGACAACATTCCCATGCATGTATGAATGTGTGTACGTTGAACTTCTTTCGCACCGTATGTAGCCAGCCGTGCTAAATGGAGGGGTAGGAACATCGCGTGCGCACGCACGCACACACCGTTTCCACGATTTGACGAACAAAATGGTGGAGGCATTTGTAAATAGTGGTAATTTTGCTAAAAGATTCGGAGTTGAAGGTTGTCAATAAATGTGGTTGGAAAAATAGCGCCTGTCACGTTGGTGAGCTTCTATTACACACATCATGCACATGCTCTCAACAACTCTTGGCTGTGTCATCGTTTTGAACTCAATAATTCACAAAAAGCCGTAATCATACGGCATGGGGTTTCTAGACATACCCCTTAAAATGGGGAAAATATATATATCTGAAAACGCACAGTGTACTTGCGTATACTCAGGACATTTTTACCGAACCTGCACAGACTAGCCCCGCAGACAGGTCTTGGGGGAGGAGGCTCTCATCCAGCAGTGGGTTGACAAATGGGGCGCGCGTTATTTCGCTTGTTCACCCAGCAAAGACCTCACCGTGTCTCGTGACTCTTGTTCGAGGAGGGTCTTGCCAAGTTTTCACGAGGGGGGGGGGGGGGGGGGGCGACGAATGCTACGTATAATCCCGATAGAGTCATTTGCGGGTAATGTTTAAAATTTAGCAAAATTTCGACCATGACGCCGGCACGCAATGGCCTATTCCTGTGGATGAAGTCACGGGGTTTTTACTGTCAACTAAGTATCAGAAAGGGCTTAAGCACGTTCTACGGTTAATACGCCAATATTAACCAGGGCGGCTGCTGGACCCGAACCGTGAACTTCTGCGATGAACGACAAACATCCTACCGCTTGGCCACGTCACCGCCTCAATGCATCAAGGGCAAAGCGGCATATATCGCTGTATTTTTGCATGCCTGGTGCCTGCACGTGGTGCATTCCCCTCGCATAGCACATGTATTGATCTGTGGCCTTGTCTACTATATGTACATGTGGCAAGTAGGCTGGAGCACACTCATAATATCACGTGCAAGGACATAATGAGCTGCCACGTGTTAAACACCCGTGATATACATAGCACATTGCTCATGAATACTGCGACATATATTAACGTGACAAGACATGGTTTAAAAAAAAAAATGACAAACCCTGCGAGCTCTCTTAGCGTAGAAAATTAATAAAAAAAAATCCATCATCAAAGACTGTTTATTTCCCCATACCCTCAAAATCATGTGGCCAACACATGCCGCTTTGGGAAATATGACATACACACACTACCAGTTGCAATTGATGTAACAATCCCATTTCATGCAATAGTCAAACGTATAATGTTGCATCGTTACAGAAATGCATTGGCAGCGAGGAGCAATGTTGATTTAGCATTTGAAAAACAAATTTCGTCCCAGTCTTGGTCTCGTCACGCAATATATGAAAAGGACGTCAAATCCTAAAATGGCTCGTGTGTTATACAACGCCTCAGCAGATGTATTTTACACAACTACTGTGATATATGGTAAGTCAAGATTTTACTATCGTGATCTGTATAATTAAATTCTGTACTTAAAAAAATGTTTTTACGACTCTGAGGATCCAGCTGTACACCCAATGGAGACACAAAATGGAATTTTTACATAAAAGAATCTCCAAATTACGCACTAATTCATCTCAGTTTGATGTTTCACAAGTATTTCTCCTCTCCAGACTGCAAAGCCTTCCATTTGTTGTTTTCATTTTTGCAACAACAGTAACGGTAGTAACGAAACAACCACAGTAAAAAGTTAGTTGATTAAAGAGCACACTATGAAGTGCAATCACAAACCCCCACTGGGCCAAGAGTCCATATATTTTCAGATTACAGGAAAACCATGAGAGCCGATGTTACCACAGTGACCAGACAACACTGGATCCAAGCCACGTAGAAATCGGTTTGAAGCATTTCGCACAATTCCGCCACACGGGGGTTAGAAATTGGGCAACAGTGATCGCGCCCAAAAGCCACGCACGGCACAATGTCGCGTATCACCCGCTCGCTTGGGCGATTGAGGCGTCGGCGGATATGTGAAGAGGTTCGGGTTTGTGAAACTCTTCTAGCAAATTACAGTTCCTCCACGCACGCCGTCTGCGGTGGTCGGAGGGTGCTGTAGAAACAATGAGTGGCGGTTAAGCGATGCGCGCCAAATCCTTTCCTCATGCACACGCGGGGGGGTTGAGAGCTCGAGTAGAATGCACGATAGACAAGAGCCCCCTTCCCCCCGCTGCCACCTTAAGATTTGTATGTCCCCCCCCCCCCGCTTTGCGCAAGGTCACGTTATGGATATGGGTGTCCCTCAGCCTGAAGTGGAAATTTCACCTCCGTATAACGTGGATTAGACTCTCCACAGGACACCCGCGATTGATTTCCCGCAAAGTTGCACTTATTTTATCAAACCTGATAAGTAAAGTCACGTAGAAGGGAAACAATAAAATAATAAAAAAATAAAAAATATAAAACAATAAAATTCTCACGACGTTTCGACTGCAACACAAGGATATTTTTATTATTTTATTGTTTCCCTTCTACGTGACTTTACCGAAAGAACCAAGAATATGAATCCCTGCAGTCACGAAAGCTTTAAATCAATATTTAAACCTGACAAGGTTAATGGTATCGGCCTTACCTGACCAGGATTTTAACTTTTGCACACTGTGATTTTGAGTTGGCCACGATTGTGCTACAGTGCCACTCACATGGATTTACAATCAAGATCAATGTCGGAAATTATGATGATATTTACAATAGGTTCGAGGTGCTTTTTGCAATACATTTACATGGGCCAGATCGCATTTAATAATAATAATGTTTTTATTCCAATCAATTTTGATTGTAGCAATGTTCAGCCGGTCTCCTGAATTGGCAGATTGGATGTGCCAGAGGGTATCCGATTACGGCCCGATCCGACGGTACACCCTTCCTGCAGACGATCTTGCTCTTCAAAAATAAACCGTTGATGTAATCTGCTTCACATCTTTCACCTATCTCCACGTGCATGAGGCCGTGCAAAGCCAGAATCCTTTTTTTACTTCTGTTCCATATGACACACTCATAGGTTCTCCACCTGTCCCGGGTTTGACCCAAACAGTCCTGGAATTGGCATCTGTGTTCGAGTGGCAGCAGGAATTCATTTGTGCCGAAATCTAGTCCCGGTGTTATTGTGTCGAACATTATTACGCTCTATAGCACGTATAATAGACCTAGGCTGACTGAGAAATCATGTCCGGGTTTGGTCTTGGGAAGAGGTGACAACCCTATACAATCCCCACCCCAGCCTCTCAACCCTCTTTCCTCCTTGAACCTGAACCGACTCACATCCATGTGCACCCCTAACAATGGACTACCTACGCAGCATGCACCACTCACAACGGGAGGTTCAAGGGTTACGTCAATGCATCTGTTATTTAGCCTCACCGGAGCATTGTGAGACTCGTGATGGCTTTTGAAATTGAGACGTGAAGTAGCTGCATCTGGCATGATATCGAAGCTCGATGCAGACCCCCAATGGCCAGAGGAAAGTAAATATTAATCGATGAAACCTTTCATCATAACGTTGCTGTCAGCGCAGATCTGTACAGGTTTTTAAAGATGATGAAGATTGATGATCATTTCTGCTCACCACCTTCAACGTGTTCTAGCTTCGTCCTTCCTCTCCCCAATATTGTTACAATTGCGCTCTTGGCTCCGTGTCGTAAAACAAAACGGAAAACAGAGAGGGGCATCACTGTGAGAGAACAGCCCACGGCAGGAAATATCGCGGAAGGACTTCTGAGATTCCTTCGTGAGACCTCTCAGTCGCACGAGGGGTGCTTGCTGTACTTCCTCACGCACCCTTCCACGGAGGTTTCCGTCGCCCGGCACTCACTCCGAAATGTTTCATTCTCGTCGCTGGAATTGTAGCCAAATGAAGTCGATCACGAAGCTTGACGCGGTTTGTCGCGTGCTCAGGCATCGGCAACTGGGCTGAGACCGTCAAATCCGCGCGCTTTCGAACCTCGTTTTAATCGACGGTGGCTAAAACCCGGACTCACACCCAAGATCTCAGCGATACCGGCTCAGTGCACGGAGCCACCCGGCCACCTCGTGTTGCCTTTGTTAATGCCCACTGAATAGTTGGTATGCGCAAAGTGAAAGCAAAATAGCCCACGAACTTCAATCACTGACTCCTGCAACCCACGTTGAGGGACTCCTATCTACCAGATTGTTTCATCTCGTCCTCATCGTGTCCACTCAGCACGCTGCAAGACACCACACTTCAGTTTCCACTTCTTCCCTCGCACCGCTCCACTTTGACCCCCCCTCCCGTGTCCTTATAACCTCATCATTGCTGAATTGAGAAGGAAAAAAAACCGTATCAACTCTCATCGATTAAACCATCGACAGCGCTGGTTGTTGCCGCTTGGCGTTATTGAGGACTTTGGGCCCCGTGCTCAGTCACCGTGATAAAACTGAAGAGACTTGGTGGCTCCACCTCGATCCTCACCTCGTCTCTCTGCTCACCTGACCGGCGAAGAGGCCGCACACCCCGATGATGCAGAGGATGTTGAAAACCGCCGAGCCAACGATCGTCCCGACGCCCACGTCGCCCTTGGTGACGAACACACCTTCGCACCAGATCGCAAAGACAAAGGTCCCCCGTGTAGCCTTAACAGGCTGTAGGGCCAAGCGCTGTCAGCGAGCACCTGTGAAGGCCGGCACGGCACACGAGGGGGGTGGGTGGCCAGCACCGCGCCCGGCCGCCTTTGTCTCCCCGCCTTTGTCTCCCCAGTGGCGATGTTCACACGCCGCCCGTGGCCGGTGCAGATAATCGTCACCGGTGGTGGCCGTGAGCGGGAATCGTGCTCGGGTCGCCGGGTTCGTAGCGCAGCGCGCTAACCGCAATGCTACAGCACCAGACACGCACACACACTGACACACACCTACACAAGTACCACGTACAACGAGTCCTCAAAGGTACCGTCAGCCTTGAAGGAGCTATCGCGAGACAGCGGTTGCAGCTATGTCGATGCATTTCGTGCAAGCTCAAACACTTTGGCGATAAAGGTTAAACACGGTCAAGGTACAGCCCTGCAATTACTTGTTTGAAGGCCCTCCACTCGCAGGAGCTTTAGAGAGCATCTCTCGAGGGTAATTGGCCTAATCCCATGCTGGCCAGATGTCTTGAAAGAGGGAGCGAGGGTGGGGGGTGGGGGAGATTATCTACACCTTACCCCACCACATGAGAGCTGCCAATTCACTCACTTTGATGGCACTCATTTCTACTGCCGGGTGGATAGAGTCAGCGGGCGGATTTAAGAAACTTGTGACCGTTGTTTCAACCGCCGCGCCGCGAGATCGAATTGGCGACCCGTGATTTGCACGTCCCGTGTGCCAACCGCCACTCACCGGCAGCGTCTCAAACACGTGGTGGAATGAAGGTTTTTTGAAAAAATCGTGCTGCATCAGTCTCCTTCTAAACGTCCACGTGGCTGCGATGACGTTGACAACTCACGTGGCCGCATCGCACATGCTTCTGCGGCTGTCTGGAACGTTCTTCCTTCCGATATAAGGAAGCCCTTGGGGCTATGCACTTGACTGAAAACTAATTTATTTAGAGCTGCTTTCTTGTGCGTTGTTTGTTGTCCTTCTGCCGCCCCTCCGTACAGCGCGGTTGGCTGCGTAGGGTGCGAAATAAGTTAATCATGCGTTCGTACATACGTACGCATTGTATCGAGCTTCCAGAGAGCGACAGGCATTTTTCTCTACCACTCATTTAAAAACAAAAATGTAAATACACATTAAAAAGTTGCATTCCAGCACTGCAATCGTACAGTTAAAACTGATGTATATTTGTGATGGGTACATCACAGATTTATTCGATGGGTGAGTAATTGCGTGTGGTGGCGTACGGTAAAGTGTGGCTCCTCTCACCCCCTTCCGCAGACCTTCTGCCCTGTGTTGAGGAGTTGGGCAAATGCCCTCTGGAGAGGGAACTCTCCAGAGGTGACCTCTAATGGAGGCCCTCACGCCAGCAGGAAGCAATTGCAGGGCTGCACCTTTATCTTTCTCTACCTTTTCCCTCTACGAATTGGGCACCCTGTACATTTTGCCCCATGTATTTCCCAACGTATATAGTAAAACGCAATAAACAATAACGTATGCCACCACTACCGTAAATACACGGCAGCCGAAAATACAGCGCGTCCTTTAAGCTTGCAAATATGCTCTGGTGTGTTCTGCGTATTTAGTGAGAATGCGATGACATTCAATGTAATATTTACTCGACAGCCACATGCCAGAAGAGGCTGCCAATGACAATAATGGTCCCTCCTGTCTGTATCAGTGTCAGAAAATTACCGGTGCAGTTCACGTGGCACGCGGAATGACAATTTGAACGACCGTTTCAAACCCAAAGCCTACTTGTCTTCTGAAATGCACACGACCCCGCAAGCTAAGCAGCACTTTAGCCTGGCCGGCACTTGGATGGATGGCCGCGAGAGATTTCCAGGTGTTGTAGTCAAGGAGAGGTGAGGTGGCCAGGAGCTGGCAGTGCTGAGTGTCATCCTCCCCCACGCGGGGTTGAGTATTTGTTTGGGGAACTGTCGAGGAAGTCCCGGTGTCGTATGCTTGGGCAGAAATGTAGCTTTGAATCTATCCGTGCGGAGTTTTGAGTGTTACCACCCGTCAAATGCCATTGGGGGGTTTCTCTCTGCGCACTCCACTTTCTTTCTACGTGAAGCTTAACCGTGAATTCATGGAAGTGGTTCAATATCCCAATGCATGACTCCAGTGCAGACAAAAAATATTATTATTAAGACTTGAGTGAGGCTTTCCTAAACAGAGGACATTATTACTACAACAATTTTACAACCACATCTATAATTCCTGTTTTTTTTCCCATCCACCAGCCTTCCAATCGGTCTCCCTCAAATGGTCCGTTATTAGCAGACAAAGCAAGAATAAAAAAGCTGTAATGTCAACAGCAAGGAGTTACATAACGCCAGCAAAAAATATGGTTGGCTCAGGAAGGCGTCAACGTTACACTTGTATTCCGTGAACAGTGAATCCAGACGCTACATTAGTTCCATGGCATGATTTTCCATTCTAATGCATACCACAAAAAATGCACACTTTGGATATCACATCTAACTGCAAAGATCCAGTGAGGTTGTCTGAGGCGGTAGAGCGGAAGGTTTCGAGTTCAAATCCTTGCTGGTGCGAGGAGGGGGGAAGTTTTACTCAGCCCATCGTCCACCTGTGGTTGATCAAATGAGTCGTGCTTTGCGGGGATATCAAGAGCGGTCGTACTCTGGCTAGACTCGCCCCCGCCATAGGAATGTGGAAATGCTACCACTGGATCAAGGGCTGTGAAGAAGTAGGTGAGCATCACTGCAGTGCTCATGTGAGCGGGTAACCGCTTTGTGCGAAACAGCGGAACACGTTCATCAAGATGAACAAGGATGCCCGTGTATAATTTAGGCGCACGGCTTCGCCAACAAGAGGCAAATACGGTCACATTTGTGAAGCGCGACAAACTGGAATACGAAGAAGTCGACCACGGGAAATTACTTTATTTTCTTTTTCTCCCGCATCCGCTTTGCGCAAACATTCGGCGACGTTTTAACGTCCACGTTGGGCCTTCTGGATCGAGTTCACGTCACCGCGGCGTTGGGGGAACGTGGCCGCTCGTGGCCGGGGATAGAGGGTTGCCGTCTGTCTCTGAGGCACAACAAAAAACCCGGGACGTATCACGGGAAGGAGGAGAAGAGGACCTCGCAATGCCACAAGAGGAGAGAACTGCGTGGTACATGCATCGTCTTGAGTGCCGTAGTAGTATTATTACTTTTAGGCATGGTTGGTTTAGGAGTGGCTTCTACACAGCCGACCCAATGTGCTTGTCAGGAGAAGCAAACCACGTGGGTCATCCCCTAAGATGGCCCTGCAGCATCACAGATTTGGCAATGCCAACACCAGAAGCGGTGGCCCTGTGCAGAATATTGGGGAAAGACCTGTATATAAGTTGGCCAAGGAGAAAGTACGAATAATTATCTTAGGGAACTGACAAAAACTGGGACTTTTAATGTCCCTGGAAAACTTGCAGGTTTCCGGGACAGCAGGAGCAGCCCCCTCAAATAGAGAAAGGGAATGTTTTTATTTATATTTTTTTAAACAATGCTTCGGTGCTAGTGAGTTATAAGCAGAAATAACAACAAATAACGAAAAACACATTAATCAATTACACTGCCCTGAAAGAAAACCCAATAAATAACAGGTGACAATTTTAAATCAGAATTCTATTACGAAGAGCCATTGCCCGAAACACCGCCGACTTTATATTTATGTATTCCCTTTTATAGGGCCGCGTTATCGTCGAACGTGATGAACTCGAACAACAACAACAACAAAAGGACGATCCTGGGAAAACTAGGACGGGTGGCAACCCTCTAGGCCCGGGAAACGCGACGGGGAAAAAAAATGAAATAAAAAAACACAAACCCAGTGGAGTTGCACCGCGGCTTGATGGGCTTGACCAAGGCCGCGCGTGGTGCTCTCTCTCTCTCTCTCGCGCGTGCTGCTCTCTCTCTCGCGCGCGTGGTGCTCTCTCTCTCGCGCGTGGTGCTCTCTCTCTCGCGCGTGGTGCTCTCTCTCTCTCGCGCGCGTGGTGCTCTCTCTCTCTCGCGTGCTGCTCTCTCTCTCTCTCGCGCGCGCGCGCGCGCGCCTCGAGGCGGCAGCGAGGGATGTTGGCAGGGTGCTGCTATGGAAACCGCCCATGCAGAGCCCTCACTGAGGGCTGAACGATTTGGAGGAAAATATCTAATTGCGATTTTTCTGACGAGATATTGCGATTTTATTTTTTGAAGGCAAGCTTCAGTTCAATATTCACTGTGTAATAGATTTAAAACATGTGATGGTGTATTACCGCATGACACCATCAAAGTATGAACTGCTCTATACTTATAATTTAATGGATGGATGAGAACTTAAAATATATTAATTGCTTCCAACATGTATTTATTAAAAGTTGAAGGGAAACAATAAAATAATAAAATATATAAAACAATAAAATTCTCACGACGTTTCGACTGCAACGCAATCAGTCATAATAAGGTGTGAAAGCCAACGGCAAGAACACTTCTTTCAAATGTCGCGATAATTTTATTGTTTTACATATATATTTTATTTTTTTATTGTTTCCCTTCAACGTGACTTTACCGAAATAACCAAGAATATGAATCACTGCAGTCACGAAAGCTTTAAATAAAAATTTAGAACAATCAATCATAGAACAATTGTTAAGTTAAATAAATAAAGTTATAATAATAAAAAAAACACACACAATTCCAATAAGAAAGTAATAGGACTTTTCAAATCGCAAAAAAAATCGCAGCCTTTGCGATTCGCTAATCGCATTGTTTCAAATTGCGATTTCGATTTGAAATCGATTAATCGTTCAGCCCTACAAAGCACTGACGGTGTAGCCAGCTTGCGCGCAGCGCGGCGGTGAACCACTGGAGTCGAGGCGACGGGACAGACCTTGGCCTGAGGCGCTATTTATTCATTTATTGGGACAATTTTCCCCAAAAACGCGTTCTCGCGATTTCCCTTTCGTTGTTTCCCCCACGCACCCCCACGGCCGCCCACTGCGCTGCTCAGCAGTGGAATCTTTACCATTTGAACTGAGACTAGCCAGCAGCAGCATGCGCTCACTTACCGGCGTTTTCTGCATCGGATATTTTTTTTTTCAAACGACGCGGTCAGTGCAGTTTGAACAAAGCGAATAGTCTCGGGCAAAATTACCCGCGCAACACGTTTCACGCACAATATGCACATGCATACCGTGCCACGGAAAAATTCACGTGTGGAGAACCCTATGAATAGCCATACAATATTATGTTACGTTATTGATATAAATGTTTAGATGTGTAATTGTGTCGCTACATTAACCTATAAAGCGGTAAGCGGAATTGGAGGAATCCATCAGAGCCGAGTCAAATCGCAACCATGAGCTGAACCTCCCCAATCTGAAACCAAATCTTGAATAAAATTCAACCCTTCGTTACTTGAGCTTGAAGTACAGCGCTCAATAAATAAAAACGAATTACAGTGCGACGTTATTTTTAAGCGTTGCAAATGCGGCCGGGAGTAGGCACTGGCCGTGCGGGTTTGGCATCGGATTAAGGCGAATCGGCGCACAAAATCGGATTCGTAGTAAAAAAAAAAAACGAAATTCCAAAATCCTGATTGGGATTCTTCTCAAAATAAAAACCCGTACATGAATGCTAATATTCCGTGTCCAGAAAATGTTGTTCATCCTTCATTTACTCGATACGCACAGAGGGAGTGCATTGCGCACGGTATTGTGAGTTTTTTTGTCCATGTTAGGTCTCTGTGTTTGGAAATCGGGAATTGTGCCTTCTTTTGATCACATTTTTATAATCCATTGAATTTCCTGGATTCATGGAACAAATCGATGCCTGAAAATTACCCACGGAAAGTGCTTTTGTAAAGACACCCTAAATGCGCTTGGATATTGTCAGATGTCAGGAGCTAAGCAGATTTTGAGCCAAGTTAGTGCTTGGACACGTCACCACTGGGGCTTGCCAGGTGTTGTAGGAACGGGCTGCTGGTAGTATTTTAATTATTGTATGTATTGCACGAAAATTCCTTAAGAGGTAAGTCGTTTATTTTCTACGCTTGGATACATAAAGGATGTACGGTAATTTTAAAGGACAAAAAAACTGACTTCAGTGACCTTCAAAAATGCATTACGTTTGGTTCAACGCAAAGGTATAGCAGATAATAATTATGCAAACACAAAAGTAAATGTCAAAATTAAATTATATTCCTAAACATAAATTGCGGCTGATAGTATCAATCTGGTGCAATTACATTAAATATGGGTCATTCTGCTATGGAGACCACACATTTAATTCCGCATTTCACGGGAACCCAGATACATGTATTAGAATGTTTTTCCTTTCCTGTGCAGAGCGGCGAGCAATATTTGTTACAAGCGTGCAATTTTCACTGTACTTCGCAAGGGACTTTGTGTCAGTCTGGATTCATTTACATATTTATCTCGAACCGTTGAACTGCAATGGGTCAAAAGTGGATTTAAAAAAAAAAGTTCTACCCTGCTTAACCCCGTCACCTCCCATTTAAACAAACACCGACCCTGCTAATGAAAGGTGCAACATAATGCTCCTTTTGGTATTTCAAGGTGGAACGATGCAGCAACAGTTAATATTCTTTACGACTCTTCTTTAATGTTTGGTAAAAAACAATATTTTTGGTGAAAATTACTCCAAGAACATGCGGTGGACTGGGTAAAGTGAGGGGCACGGGTTCACCAATTGCGTCCGTCTGCCAGGGGTTCGTGTCAGTTTGCCACGGGTTCACCGATTGCGTCCGTCTGACACGGGTTTACCAATTGTGTCCGTCTGCCATGGGTTCAACGATTGCATCCATCTGACACGGGTTCACTGATTGCATCCATCAGCGACGGCTTTACCGATTGCGTCCATCTGCCATGGCTTCATGGATTGCATCTGTCTGCCACGGGTTCACCAATTGCATCCGCCTGCCACGGGTTTGGCGATTGTGTCCGTCTGCCATGGGTTTGGCGATTGGTGGCCATGCGAGAACCCAAACTTGGTTTAAATTCCTTCCGTGTGACGGGCCGTAATCTCTGGGAAAATCGAGCAAAAAATTATTTTCGCGTAAAAAGCTTATCATCCTTGTCCGAACTTAAATCACTTTTGGATTTTGGATTTTATTTTAAGTGTACGTGCAATTGGTCGCTCTTTTTTGCAGACGTGAATTGATACTTTTTTTTGTTGTAAAATGTGATGTGTTGTGCTGGTGGTACCGTGTTGATGGACGACCTTGCAATTCGGAACGTGACCATGCGTACAGTTGTTATTGGATTGAATTGTTTTGTTCGCGTTTTTTGTTGTTGTTGTTGCTGTTACCAGGTTTCTAGAATGTAACCAAGTGTCCATGTAGAAAATGAGCATATATCGCCCAATGGGTTTTACCTGTGCCAAAATCAAACATAGCCATCTGGCTACCATGAAATATTCTTTCATGAGGCTATCCACATATTCAAACACAGAGACAATTTCAACCGAGAAGATGGATTCTGGCTTAGCAATCATTGGAAGGATTCGATAAACCATTTCGGGTCTTAATTGATTGTTCACGCTTACAGTGGCTTTCAGACCGCATCCATTATTTTCGTCTCCCCCCTCCTCTATTCCGAACATAGATGGACTCGTCCATCTGAATAACTGCCAAATCTCTCTCCGTGGTGCTAACGTAAAAAATAACTGCCACTTTTTTCGAATTTTCTCGCTGTGGTTTTCACACATGATGATGAGTGCTTGTGTTGCAGTCGAAACGTCGTGAGAATTTTATTGTTTTGTATTTTTATTACTTTATTGTTTCCCTTCCACGTGACTTTACCGAAAGAACCAAGAATACGAATCCCTGCAGTCACGAAAGCTTTAAATCAAAATAAATCTAAAAACCTAAATCTCATGCTCTCTCTCAGTTTCGCACGTTATATTACATGAAGAAATGAAACGACCCGACCGGAAGAGACACTTTACCGATGACGGACGTGAACAGCTCCGGGGCTGAGCTGCCCGCGGCCATGAAGGTGGCTCCAGCCACGTCCTCGCTGAGCTGCAGGCGCTGCGATGGACACGCGGGAGACACGCGAGAGACACGCGCTCGCACGTGGGGAGGCACGGCAGTATCTCGTGCGGCGTTTCATTGTTGAAAGACTCAGACAAGGTGACAGGCAAATCATCTCAACTGTTAATTTTGTTTTTACCTACACGTATATACGGGAACAAATGACCACGAAAAGTATGACGCAGGCATTCGCGGTTGTGCTGTAACACTCTGGTGTGTTTTCGGGTTGCACCGCGCATTCCTCTGAATGATGTCTGACGTTTCGCTCCACCTGCAGGGAGCTTCATCAGTTCCCGAAGAAATTCCATGAAGGAGCTCCCAGCACGGTGGAGCGAAAACATCAGACATCGTACCAAGCAACAGGTGGTATGACCCGAAAAAAAAAAACAGAGTAAAAAAATGCAAACCATGCTGTGAGTTTTCGCATTTTATCCCGTTTATGTCTGCAATATTTGCCACTGTACACGTGCAGTAAGCCCCATTAAAGGTGCGTATCTTGGCCAATCGCCACTGACCGGCGTGTGTAGAAGTATGGTCACACATTTCTTCCCCTCAGTTGGTTTTGGGGAGATCTTCATCCAGCAATTGATAGATCACGGCTGCTAATGAGGATGATGATGTAGTCACTAGATCTTAATCATCGTTATGAATTACTCCCATGTGCATCAACGTGGTATGCAGGCCTGCGATTTGTAAGAACACGTGTCTTCAACAGACAACAGCTGTGATGACGATTTCCGATGATTGGATTTCTGATTTACGTGATCACATCACGCGCATTGATTTTTCTCTTTGTTTGTTATCGGATTATATCGCTGGACATTTATTGCATGCTGTAAATTTGAAGTAAATAGTAATAACCACGTGAACCATATATTACATGTACAGTATTTATAATTACTGCAAGCACACAATTACATAGCGAGCACTTATCAAAGCGGATGGGGTGGTTTCACCAGCTTCTATCGCCTTTCATGTCTATAAACCTCAACAGCGATTCATCTTAGGCGAAACTAACTTCGAAAAGGCACACGACAGAATCAGAATATGCATTTTTTAGTAGTAATACTCATCATCATAGGACTCTATAGAATGTTGGGGCGAGGGCTGTTAGTAAAGCACCTATGAACACTGCAAAGCACACGAGGAGCGTGGTTTGGTCAGCACCGCACTGAGCCACCTTTGTGTCCCCAGTGCTGGTGGTCAAACGCCGCAAAATAATCACCACTGATGTGAGCCGTGGTCCGGAATCGCACTCAGGTCGATGGGTTTGTGACAGTGTGCTAACCACTATGCCACCACTCCTCCAACCACCCACCCCCAACCGGCGCCCCCCCCCCCCCCACCCCTGTCAATCAACTTCTAGATGAGAGGGCTCCTCGCGCCGTATTAGACATGGGCGTTGCTTGAAGAAGCTTCACCACCTGATGAAGACCGCTTGTGTTTTTTGCTTTAATTATTTTAAATTTATTAAAAATATTTTTTTTTCATTTTCATTTCATTAAAAAAATGTTTTATTGTGGTTTCTTGCTGTAATGATTTTCAATTTCTTATTTTTTTATTTTTTGTTTTCTATCTACGCGACTTTACCGAAAGAACCAAGAAAACCAGCTTCACCACGCTGATTTATCGTCGGCTGATGAAGGGAGGGTGTCCCCAGATCCAACTTGAGACGTCACTCGACGCCGATATCGGCCGTGGTCTGCGAATCAAGCTCAGGCCCACGCCTCTAATCCAGTGCTTTTCACTGATTATCTTCAGAGGCGGGGGAGCAGGGGGGTTCACATTTTTTGTATTGTCGGGGGGGGGGGGGGGCGCACGTCAGGGGCTTCCAGCGGCCCGCGGGCCTCGCAATGAAAACTTCTACTCTAACCACTGCACCACCGCTCCGTACGCAACGTAACCAGCAAACGTTCGCGGCCAATACCTCGGAGATTTTTTCCAGCGATGGGACAAAGAAGTCGTCGCACACCAAGGCCAGCGCATAAAACATGTACATCGTCTGCGGGAAGGAGGCACGGAGATAGAGAATACACAGGGAAAAAGATCACGGTGACGAATGTGATTCATTACAGTTTCAGTATTGAGGTGCTGTGCCTGCGTTTCATAAGCTTCAATATGACTTTGAATACACTTTGAGTTTTTTTTTTTTACAGCGCTCATTTGGAGATTGGCATTGTAAACTTTCAGGCAATAAAATAAAGATAAGCGCTCCAACACTCATCAGCCGCTTCTGACGAGATTCAATTAATCTAGAGAAAGTTTTATGTTCTTCAGAGACAAGGATATTACCTAAATACCTTTTATCTGAAGTTGATTGGGATGACATTAAATTGAAGTGAGGTATGTGCTCATTTAATTTAACTGCCGTAGTTACCTCAAACTCATTTGAGCTGTATGTCGCACAAACGAATTGCATGCCATATTGCCACCTTTAATTAACTTGTTTGATTTTTTTATTGCAAAGGGGACAGAGTCAGCGCCTTAAATATTGACAGAGTAAAAACAAAATAAGCCCACATATGAGGTGGATGGGTGGCTCAGAGGTCAGAGCAATAATCTGGTACCAGAAATAAATGAGTTCGCATCCAGGCAGCTGTCTGGGAATGAACCTCAGGAAGGTCACCGATGACAGAACACACGAACGAACAAACAAAAATGTTGCGTGAAATTTTATTCCACACCTAATTTGGAAAACATATCACCTCGGAGAATTAAGTATCGGTTCGAGCGTCATTCAACGAGCATCGCTGCAATGTGCAGAGTGGGTGGAAATGTACTTCTATTTACTTTGTGAAATAGCGGTCACGTGAAGGGACCTCAGAGTTAGCTCCATAATATCCACTTCCAATGGGCCATGCTCTAACATGGGTCACACTGCTCCCGCGAGAGATCCGAATGGACACCGCATTTTGTCTCATTACATGACACCAATATTGCAAACTGAATACAATTACAACAATATTTTTAGAACCCCCAGACATTATTGCATTGTGTACTCACGCAGAAGACGTGAAGAAGCAAGCCTCCATGCTTCCTCTCTTCGTTGGTGAAGATGTCCTTCGGAAATTCATTAATCGCTGCCACAACACAAAGGAACAACGGAGGGGGGGTCACACACGTGATTCAATACATTTACATGCTTAGCTTCATTGTCATGTGGTGTCAAACATGAATGAATCTTGGGAATGCTGGCATGAGCAAGCAAGTTACAGCCACAAACCACCGCACTGCAGCAGTGCCGGACGATCCTAATAGCAAAAGTAGCTACACATGCTACGGGCACCGCACTTTCAAGGGCCCCGCGCTAAACGCTTTCAAGATATCAATGCCGGTTCAGTGATTCTGCACTTGCTCTATTACTATAGTACTATACCGCCTTCAACTTTTATGAACGACTGGGTGTATAAGGTTAGCGATTTGTCGTATTATCCGGTTGTGTAGCAAATGAAAAAATACAATTACTTTAAAAAATTTGTGTTTCAATATTTACGTGTTTTTTTATATTTATGGCCCCTTTATAATATTTGCTACAGGCCCTGCACGAGCTTCATCCGGCACCGCACTCAGGCCAAAATACGTCTCCACTTAGCTTCCTTCCTTGTACTTCTATTGTGTTTATTTGAATTCCTTCATTTGGTCTCTTATTCCCAAGTCTTGTTTTACTGCCTCGCTCAAAGCAAGCAATGTGTTAACCCTAATCTTCGTAATAACGTTTTTTTGGGTTCGAGCACGTAAATGTAAATGTGCCGTAAACCCACCTCGAACAAAAAGGTTACAATCAGTTGCTACCTCAGCACACCGGTGAGTGTTGGAGAGTAAACTCACAACATTTGCAATTTCAGTAAGGCGTTTCGCTGCTGATTCCAACCAGATTCAACGGGCGATTGCCATAACCCTAATGTACAGGTTGGCCTAAAAGTCAGGGCACATAGGGTTGTTTTGTTTATTTCAACAAATCACATGCAGTTCTTTCAATGTTTTGAAAAAAATGATCAAACTGACTCCCATTAACAATAATACTTGCGCGAATGATCTTTTGAAATACATTTTCGACTTTATTAAGATTGCAGCTTCCTTTTTTCGTATTAGTTAAAAAAACGAATGTACTTCCATTTTTAAATGTCATCTGAAACGCGGAGAAGAAAAATAGATACGAATAATGATAATAAGATAATAACATTTAAATATTTTAATGTCAGTGTTGAAGTAAAAGTAACCCTATGTGTCCTGACCTTTGGGTCACCCCTATATTACAGGTTCAATGGTGCTGTTTGTTGCTGGCCACTTGGAATTTGGGGCCTTTTGGGCCCTGTGCTCAACAATCGTCATAAAAAAGAGTGATTACACAATATTCCTTCATTATTAGAATATTGATGCTGTTCATGAAATCATAATTGATTGCTAGGTCTTTACGAATACTGAATGAGGTCATTTGTTTGATGCATGATCATTCAAATTACTCACAATGTACCAGCGATGTACCTTTTTAAAAGTGTATAATTCCAGGAAAAAAATGGCCCAAACACTACATGTAAGCACCTATTAAAGTCCAATGAATCATTCTGAAAAGCCCACATTTCCGAAAGAAATTGAATTCCTAAAACTTGCAAACGGCAGAAATAACGTTATACCAAAAACAGATAAAGGCTCTGCCGTGCAATTGATTGCTTATGAATGCTGCTGGCCGAAGGGCCTCGACTCGAGGGATATCTACAGAGCACCCAGATATCTTTGGAGACGGTGGGAGTACCGACACTTTGCCCCACTCCATGGGACCTGCCAATCGCCTAACTGCACTGCATAAAGCAAAGATAACATATGTGCCACAAACCGACTGTGTATATGCATAGTTGAATCACAGGGAAATCTCTGAACAAAATCTAAACACCATCAAGACGACCTTATTTTAATAAAAATGCGAGGGAAGGAGTCGCATAAAAGGCTGTCCTATTGACATTCAACTTCATGACGTGGTTTAAAATTGTTCCTTAATTAAATTTTCTTTCGTACTAAAAAGGTTAGTGTGCCCGTTGTTTGGATATTGATTAGTCACGGCTGGCTTTTATGTGTCTTATTGGCCGCACACACTCCTCCATCTGGCATTATGGACACCCTGCTCAAATTTGTGATGAAACAAAAAAATGTATAGCGCAGGGATCAGAGCGTTTGGCCAGACGCTGCTAAAAGTCTGGGTTCAAATCCAGGCAGCCGCGTGTACTTAAAATGGGTTCTCAAACGTACTCAGTTGATGTTCTCAGCCTGGCCACCGATGACTGCACTTAATTTTTAGTTTAAAAAATTCCAGCTCGAAAAACGACATATCAGGGTTGACTGTCACGTGACAAACCTCACTTTCATATGCAGAGTGAGTGCGAAGTGTCGCCCTCTACTGTGTGCGGACCAGAGGCAACTCGAAGAAGGGATCTCAGAGGTAGCTCTGGGAGCGGTTCTCTGACATGAAGGGCTTGCACCGCTCTGCGAAAGGTCTGAAAGGATACTTAATCTCCCCGCACCTCCGATTGGCACGGTTGGCTACGTACGGTGCGAACGAAGTTCAACATATGTACATACAACATACATATATCATGATGCCCGTTGTGTTAGAGTTGGGGGGACTTTTTAAAATGGGTTCTCAAGTCGAGCGGGTTGATCGTCTCAGCCCAGTCACAAAATGACTGCACAATGAACTATTATATTTATTTTTCAATTTGAACTGAGAATGTATATTTTGTATTGGTTTTACTGCCACGCTATAAATATTTCTCTGTAGCAGGGCGTGTGGGAAAACTGTATGCCCTCGCGTGCAGATAAAAAGGGGTCACTATGAAAAGATCTCCAGAAGTAGTTATGCAGTATCTCCTTCCATTAGCCTATTCTCTACAACGGGGGTAGTGCACTGATCTCTGTGAGAGCTCTGAATGGATGCCTTATGCCTTGAGAGCAATTTCACAATGGGAATAAAACCGGAGAAAGACGAAATATTGGTTTTGTCCATTAACTTTGTTGCGAATTCTCCTGTTCATTTAGCTATTGTGCTTAATTTACGCACACCCACCAGTATGATTCACTTAGGATAGACAGCGTGAACTGATATTTCCTGAAACATTCCCTGGAGAAGTGTTTTTGCAGGTTTAGTTTTTAATAGATATTGACCGGAACTTGAATGTCGCTTGTGAAGGTAGAGATTCAGTTTTCAATCCAATGACTTTCAAATAGATTGCAGCTTTATATATATATATGTTCATATGTCGAAACAAAAAACATCCTAGAAGTTGTTGTTTTGATGTATTTTTTTTACTTAGTAAAAATATGTATTATACCAGGTAAGGCCCACTGAGCTCTTTTTAAAAAAGTGACCTGGACACAAACGATAGCTCAACGATGTGACATATCACGTGGAAATTTATAGCAGCCAAATACTCGAAACGCATGTTTTTTTTTAAATGTGGAGGGAAAAACCGGAGGATCTGGAGAAAAATCCCCACGCCCACGGGGAAAACACACAAACTCCAAATATTCAGGCGTCAGAATCGGGATTGAGCCCACGACCTCCTGTATACGAGGCGAGGTAGTTAACATATCGCCACAGTGGCACTCCATGTATGCAAAGAGCACTAGCTCTCGCTCTCGATAAACATCACATCCATAGCTGCGCACACGTCACTCGAAGTCAGATTTTAAATAAAACAACCATAATGGTGTATTGGTAAAAAAACAGCTATTGAATAATAGTACTTTAATAAACTAGGGTTTCTAAGCGCCTTACATAAAGCTTAAGTTACTTAAAAACAGGTTAGTTTTAAGACGCAAATTAAAGAGTGCAAGATACCCAGAATCCATCACAAAAGTTTTTTTGTGTTAGATCGCATTAACATAAATGTGTCATTAACCAACCACCATCCGACAGCCAATTAGTAAGGTCTGTCACATAAACAAAACTTAAATTTCGATTTAAAGCTTTCGTGACTGCAATGATTCATCTTCTTTGGTTCTTTCGGTAAAGTCACATAGAATGAGAATAAAATAATAAATTGATAAAATAAAATAACACAATAATATTTTATTCTCATTCTACGTGACTTTACCGAAAGAACCAAAGAAGATAAACAAAACTTGCCAATTAGTTACTACTTCAGCACACCGGTGTGTTGGAGAGTGAACCCACAACATTTACGATTCTAGTATGACGCTTCGCTGGCGATTACAACCAGCTTCATCAGTCGATTTGCCATAATTTTGGCTCAGAATCCCTAATGGACCGAGGAAGGGAATTCCACAATCGTCGAGCCTGGCTGGAAAAAGCTGTCTCCGATACAGCAGTGCGGCCTTTGGAATCGTAACATTAGTAGACCAGAATGAGCAGATATTTTTTTATTAAACCACGTGAGGATCTGACTATCTTCATTTTGTTTTAAACATCCCGTATGCATAGTTTGAATGTCTCTGTTTATTTACACAATGCCAATTGGATTGCACACTAAATCGGCATTGATTAAAATAATAACACAAACCAATGCAACTCTGTATTTTTAGATCCCCCCCCCCTTTCTTCTCAAGAGCATCTCATGTTTAAATACCATTTCTTATTTTTATCAAAACACACAACACAAGCAACACCTGTGCCTCTCTGGAGAAAATGATTCCAAATTAGAATATTTAATTGACTGCCATGCTAATTAATCCCCCATCACCGCTTGCCTGTTCTATCGGACCGTCCCGTCGCTTTAACGTCAGCGGCACGCAAGCGAAGTGCGACTTGTGACAGGGCTTAATTTATTTTTGTCGGTCTGGAGCTGTCCGAGGCGGAGTCGAAGGAAAAAAAGATTCCACGCCAAGTGAAGCCCCGTGCTCGTGCCCAATTGCCAACTATGGCACGCCGGACAGACGCGGGGGGGGACAAACTCTCGTGCCTTCCTAGCGTCAACGAAACCTCCGCCGAGGTGCTCCACTGCTGTCAAGGATTGTTGAATAAAAAGGCGTTACGCGCCAGCGTCGCGACTGAACGCGCTATTGGCTAACGCAGAACGAACATAAACCACAGTATTTACAATGGAACGTTGACCGTTAAGAAAAGTAC